CATGATCTAATATGCCCTGCACATCCCCTCCCTGTTGAACACTAAGCATATAACCACCAGCTTTATACAGCAAAAGCACAGCTCATTCTGCCCACAGGTCCTGTCCCAGTGCTACTTAAATAAGAGACCGAAGATGTCTCAAGACTTCTTTCTGGATTGTTGTGTTCAACAGTTCCACAGCATGGTTGTCAGCCTAGATGTGGTATGATCATGGTTTGGTGTTCCCATCACTTTCTATCTATAATCAACATTCTTGCTTACTCCATCATAAATTTCACTTAGTCTATCTTGCTTTATATCTTTCAGGTTACTTAGTATCTATTTTTTAGCACATCTTATGAGCTCTGCCTACTTCTCACAATCTACTTGCTTTCTCATTATTCATACTTTACCATATCCTATGGGATTCATCCATCCCATTCTCTTCTCTCTAGCAGAACTGATTTTCTGTAAGAACACAGCAAATTAGCATTACTTTAACAAACATTTAAATAGTTTTCTTTGGGGCACCTGGGTGGCTCAGTGGGTTAAAGCCTCTGCCTTCGGCTCAGGTCATGATCCCAGGGTCCTGGGATCGGGCCCCACATCGGGCTCTCTGCTCTGCCGGGAGCCTGCTTCCTCCTCTCTCTCTCTCTCTCTCTGCCTGCCTCTCTGCCTACTTGTGATCTCTGTCTGTCAAATAAATAAATAAAATCTTAAAAAAATAAAATAAATTGTTTTCTTCATCTATTCAGTGAAATGTATTGATATTAGGAAGTCTGTATTATTTTACTCTTTTCACCTTGCCTTTTCTTACTTTCAGTTTTGATCATTTTGAAAAGACAAAAGGGATGTTTGAGCAAATTCCCCAAATAATCACACTTATTCAATTTTCTATGCATTTCCATTTGATAATGACATATAGGCTATGAAATATATCTCTTCTTACTTTATATTTAGGAAACCAGTGCTTTAAGATATTTTAATGTAATCACAATACCCTTTAAAAAATCTATTGACAAGTGATAAGAAAAACAATCTTCATCTCTGTTTCTTATGTAGTCCATGTATTTGACACACAGGCTTATTAAATATTCTCTTGTGCCATAGCTATACCACATCTTAGCAACTGAGCACACATACACAAAAAATACAGACTGGGAAACTTTCTGCACCTAATAACCATAAATGAATTTCTAACAAAAATGTAGATGCAGAATTCTAACTGGCAGTCTATTTCTCCCCAACATAGCTACCCACAACCAATCTTTCCAAGAAAGCTCAGATAAGTTAGAGAGAGTTAGCTCTAATCAGTAGGTTCACCAATAAACATCTATTGAGTGTGTTCTTTACAAGGCACTGGCAGACAGCAGAAGTTATCAGCAGATTCTGACATTCATTTTACCTTTAGAGCTTTCCTAAAAAGTTCTACTAACCAAATGTTGTATTTTTTAAAGAGTCATTGGGAGCTTTTTCATCTTAAGAGAATTTTTCTCTTACTTAATTATAAATTCATAAATTCATAAAATGTACAAGAAAGAAGGCATGTTTGGATAAAAGAGACAAAAACATCAATATGCTTGGACAACTGGGTTTATAAAGGAGAGCAGAACGAAGCTGGGCAGGGTGGCAGAGTATTGCTCAGCATATAATGCTAAGTGGTGTAGATTTTTATCCTCTTGAACCTAGTGCTATCCAGCGTGGTAGACACTAGCCAAATATGATTAATTAAATTTAATTAACTAAATCAAATAAAAATTCAGTTTCTTGGGTATGTCAGCCAGGTTTCAAATCCTCGGTGGATACATAATGGCCAGTGGCAACAATATTGGTTAGTGAAGGAGCACATTTCCATTATTCTAGAAAGTTCTGTTGGACAGTGCTGCCCTATAGACATTGAGGAAATGTAAAAATTTTGAGCAGAGTTGGAAATGATAAAATTCTAATTTTCCAAGGATCTTTAGGAAGAAATTAATAAACTGAAAAATGGTAGCGCAATTAGGATATGAACCAGAATGCACATCATACTCAGACTGGGGTTGCAGAAATGAAAACTAGTATGTGTGTTTGTGTTACGGTTGGGGTCAGGGCAAGAACTATAGTAACAAAGTAGATATGGAGGGTGAAGGAAAGACAGAGTGCTTCTTATTTAGGAAAATGGGTGGGTATTAATCCTATTCTCTGAAATAGGAAACTGTAAAGGAGTGGAATATATATATATTTGAGAGGACAGGGGTGGATGATAAATCTAGATTATATCCCTGTTAAGTTTGAGATTGTGAGGGGCATTTTAATAAGATATACAATAGGCAGTTAGATATATAAATTTTGAAATCATTCTCAAGGAGCTTAGGAGGAGATACATAAAATATTACATGGATTTCTCATTACTTCCTTAAAATCAATATCTAGAAGTGAAAATTTTTTTCAAACAGTATGAATTATATGTGGAGACTTTCCAGATTTTTTCTTCCTCCTTTCCCCACAACACACACTCCCTGGTGACTCTTACATTGCCATGATGAACAGATGTTATGCACAGGCATGTACAGTACTCTACAGATGAACTGATGGGGTCTGGTGTTTTATTTTATTTTTTTAAGATTTTATTCATTTATTTGTCAGAGAGGGAGAGAGAGCGAGCACAGGCAGACAGAATGGCAGGCAGAGGCAGAGGGGAGAAGCGGGCCCCCTGCCGAGCAAGGAGCTGATGTGGGACTCGATCCCAGGACGCTGGGATCATGACCTGAGCCGAAGGCAGCTGCTTAACCAACTGTGCCACCCAGGATTCCCTGGGTCTGGTGTTTTATAATGCATTGGTTGGGAGACAGATTTCAGAGTTATAACACTTTCTTTGTAAAAACAACAACCTTCCTCCAGATTCCAATGATTTTGTAAATACTATAAAGTAGAACACATTTGCATCTTTATTAGTTTGGTTGCCAGGCAAGAAAACAGAAATCACTAAAAAAGTTCTAAACAGCATTTGCTATGGGGAAATGTTGACATAGGTGTTGAAGGCTAGAAGAGCAAAACAGGAAGGTAAGATTAAATTAGAAACTCCTAATGCTGGAAGTGGCTACCAGTCCTAGAGCTGGTAGAACAGAGGGTGGGGGCGGTGTTATCAAAGTCTGAGAGCAAACTCAGTGCTGGGGATGCTACATGAGGATAGGAAAAGGGAAGGCAGGACCACTGGAGGGGCTGCTGCAATTGGCTCTGGGACTTTTAAAGGGCACAGATGTCTCCCTGGATACCAGATGCAGAGAGTGAGAGAAAAGAACAACAGCTTTCCCGTGTTCCACCTTACGATTTTCTGCTTGTGTTTCTTCCTGGGAGAATCATACAGAAAGCCATTTGACAAAGAAGGCTGAGAAATGTAGTCTATAGACTCTCAGGCCATCTATCACCAGAGCGGAGTTTAGGAGAGTGTGGGGCTCAAAGACCACAGGCAAATAACCTACACCACGCTTTACCAGAAGGAAAAAAAAAGTAAACTACAGAAAAAACAAAAACAAAAAAACCTTACTTATTTGGTTTCTAGTCTTTGACAGACTTGATAAACTCTAAGGTTCTATCACAGTAACTGTCATTTAAAATGCTCAATAAATATCCATAAATATTTGGATGAACAAATGCCTATCCCTATCCTGATAAATAGTTCAGCTCAGTACTCAACTTACATGATTGGCAGGAGATGCAACTGATTTTTAATGAAACACCTGAATTCATATGTACAAGTTAGTATTATCTTTTAAAATTTTGCCCCTTTGAAAGTTAGCATACTTTCAAACAGTGCTGTCATTACTCAAGGGATATTTAGAACTCCTTTGAAATTGCCTTTCAGAGCTAGTTCTTGAGAAATACATGATAATTAGGAGAATGTATCCCTGCCCACTTTTGGCTAGTCTGAGTCACCTGTTTTTGATCTGGAAGATTTATTTGGTTTCAAAAATGAAATCCACTCTCAAATAAAGACTTGTTACTAATGTTGGTAAGTACTTGCCACAATTTCCAATTAAACTTGAGGCAACATGATGTCTCAGCCTACTTCTGCTACTTTGAATTTGGAATAAGACAACAAACGTGGTGGATAATAATAGTAGTAACTTAAAATTGGTCTTTATTGCCTTTCTATGAAGAGAGGAGAATCATCATTGTGCCCTGCTCACCCCCACCCTCCCTAATTTCAGTAAGTTCTTTCCATATCCCAGGGTTATTTCCAGCTAAGACAAATGTATAAGCACAAATGTATAAAAACAAAAAGTGTCGCTAGGCTCTGACGTCTAGGACATGAACCAAGACCACGTTTTACTATCACCCCCTTCCCTAAAGGGAAAAATCCATATACTTTTCGGCTTGCCATATCCATACAGCATTCTGGTAAAACAGGAAACTTCTCAAGGGCTAGTGAAGTGTGGAGCACAGGCAGATGCAATGTACTCTGCCTGAAGAGAAACGTAAGTAATAATAAGAATCTTAATAAGCACCTCCATGACACTATGTGCCAGGCTCCGTTTATTCTTTGTCTTCACAGTTCTGTGAGGTAGGCACTTCTATAACTCCCACTTTACAAATGAGAAAGCCGGGGCTCACGGAGGTGATTAACTAGCCAAGACTACTCATTCTTGAAGGATAGTCCAGGGTTCAAACCTGACACTGGTTCGAGTTCGTAATTTCAGTGAAGAACTGCTATCTGGCAAATTTTAAACCGTCAGTACCAGCAACTGGAGAACTAATGGAAAAGGGAATCAACAAAACGGTCCACACCTCGTAAACAGTGCTGATACACCAAAGAAGCCTGATGTCCCAAGGGAGGGCAAACGAGAGACCTGGAGGTGGAACCACCCTGGAGCGGCTCTGACAGACGCAGTCGCAGGCGACAGAAGCGCTTCCGAGACCGATCCGCCGCCATAACATCCCTCATCGGGGCCCTTCCTGGCAGCGTCAAATCGCCGGCGTCCAGAAGGAGGTGGGACTTCCGGGCTCGGTGGAGCCAATACCGGCCGCGCCGGAAGTGCCTATTGAGGAAAGGGTGAGGAATACCGGGTGCCTGAAGATCCCGGTGAATCTTGTGTTCCACAGACTCAGAAGAAAAGTCGGGTGGTTTTTCATCCGCTAATTGTCAGGTTTTGTGGGCAGTGGGAAGCAGGAGTTGGGACATGGACAGCCGCTTGCAGGAGATCCGGGAGCGGCAGAAGTTACGGCGACAGCTCCTTGCACAGCAGGTCCGCGGCCCAGGGAGGAATCGAGAATGCGCGTGCGCGGTTCCCTTCTCTTCCTCCTCCCCCTCTTTCTTTTCTGTCTTTGCCTACGCATTTCGGTGCTTACTTCCCTGGTTCCGCAACCCTGATCCCTAGGCCTACCTGCCTTTCTTGCTCTTAACTGCGGCAGAACCCTGAATATTCTTCATCTGTGCCGCGGTCATTATGTTGCTAAACCGAACGCCACGATTGGTCCTCAGCAACCATTATGGAATGCGCGCCAAGTGTCTGGCGCAGGGCTCAATGATGGGGATACAAAGCTTTGGTCTTTGTAAATAAATTACCGTAGTTCGCGCCAGGAAAAGTGATTTGTTATCCCTTAAGTTTCTCTAAACTATTTAAATGGTCGTCTATGTCAGGCCTTTCTTCTTAGTACCTAGTTCTTGAGATTGTGGCTTCCTTGTGAAATAGATTTATAGTGTTTTCTTTGGGATCATATCTAAAGACTGCATTAGAAGTAGCCTGAGTGTAAGTTTTAGTTTGTACATCTTGTGTGTTGCTAAGTACTGTATCTTCGTCATCACCCACCGCTAATATTTGAATTCTCACTCTGTTTAAGCCACAGTAAATACTTGGAATAGATATCATTGACTTCCCTTACCAAATAATGAAACAGGCTAGAGAGGTTAGGTAGTTTTTGCCCCGTGTCACTCACCGCTAGGCCAGAAAATTGAACCCAGGTGAGTCTCTCCAAAGCTCGTGTGTAAATTAACACTTGATCAGGAGAGTACACGTGCAGAAAATGCAGATGTACACCTCTGCTTAGAGTCAGAGTTTGTGTTTCCCATCCTACCATTCATATCACTAAAAGTGATGGAGGAAATACTACGAGGTTTTAATGAGGCATCTTACTGTTATTTTTCAGTAATGAATCTTGGTTTTAGTAAATGAAAATTTGAAACCTATACTCTTATGATCTGATGAAAAGGTTTATGGTGTGTTTATATATATATTAAATGTATATGGTTATAATATATATAACCATATATGGTATAGATATACCATATATGGTTATGGTGTATAAAACCGTATATGGTTATGGTATTTATAGTCATACATGCTTATGGTATATATAGTGTTAAAAATGTGGGAATTTGGAATCAGACCTGTTCTGTCCCTCTAGCATTATGATCTGGGACAAATCAGGTATCTTTTCCAAGCCTTCTTTCTTGTACCTTCTTTTATTGTGTTGGCTTCAGAATATTTAGTAGCTTTGTTACCACCAAGTAAGGTTCTTATTTTTTAGTTTTTTTAGATTTTAGTTTTAGTTTAGTTTTCTTTGACTCAAAATGCATTCATAAATGGTTACTTTGTGTCTTATTATACACGAGGGGATCTAGTAAGCCCCTGGCAATTCAACTATAAATAAAAAGTGGTCCTTACCCTAAAAAAGCTTGCATAGTGCGAAAAATTTAATGATGGGTGCCTTTATTAAGTACCTTTAATGAATCAAGACTCTGCTAAGCTTTTTATATACATTATCTTCAGTCCTGCAAGTCAGATACTATTTGCATCTTATAGATGAAGAAAGTAGAGCTCAAAGAGTTTACGTTACATGCTGAAGTCCACAAAGTTTATAAGGTTGCAAGCTTTTAGTTTTAGGCTTTTCCATGCTCTTTCCAGTACACTAGCTGCTCCCTAGTCTTCTAGTTGGTTAGAAACTATTTCCACTTAAGTAAGAATGTCTGATATAATCAATGACAGACCTCCACTTTAGCAACTAATTTCAGCCTTTCTTTCAATTGTTTCTCTATTTGAACAACACTGATTACTCTCCAGAATGTGGTTGTGCAATTTATACTTTATGATTTTTTAAAAATTGTACTTTTTTTTTTGCTTTTATCATTTATTTATTATTATTATTATTTTTTAAGATTTTGTTTATTTATTTGACAGACAGAGAACACAAGTAGGCAGAGAGGCAGGCAGAGAGAGAGGGGGAAGCAGGCTCCCTGCCAAGCAGAGAGCCTGATGCGGGGCTTGGTCCCAGGACCCTGGGATCATGACCTGAGCCAAAGGCAGAGGCTTTAACCCACTGAGCCACCCAGGTGCCCCTTGTTTATTTTTTTAAAGAAAAATTTTTTTTTTTTCAGTGTTCCAAAATTCATTGTTTATGCACCACACTCAGTGCTCCATGCAATACGTGCCCAGGCTTACCGAACCCCCCACCCCTCCCCTCTAAAACCCTCAGTTTGTTTCTCAGAGTCCACAGTCTCTCATGGTTTGTCTCCCCCTCCGATTTCGCCCAACTCACTTCTCTCCATCTCCCAATGTCCTCCATGTTATTCCTTATGCTCCACAAGTAAGTGAAAACATATGATAATTGACTCTGTCTGTTTGGCTTATTTCACTCAGCATAATCTCTTCCAGTCTCTTCCATGTTGATACAAAAGTTGGGTATTCATCCTTTCTGATGGAGCTATAATACTCCATTGTATATATGGACCACATCTTCTTTATCCATTTGTCTGTTGAAGGGCATCTTGGTTCTTTCCACAGTTTGGCTACTGTGGCCATTGCTGCTATGAACATTGGGATATATATGGCTCTTCTTTTCACTACATCTGTATCTTTGGGGTAAATACCCAGTAGAGCAATTGCAGGGTCATAGGGTAGTCTATTTTTAATTTCTTAAGGAATCTCCACGCTGTTTTCCAAAGTGGCTGCACCAACTTGCATTCTGTCCTCCTTCCTTTCTGATTTCTGTGAATCTACTGTAGCACAGCTCAGGTCAGAACATTGTAATGAAAACTGTCTTGATCTCTCTGGCTAAGGGTCTTCTTCCAGCTGGTTTTCGATGTCCTTACTGTTGCGTACACTACTTAACATTACTTATTGTTATACAGAATATAAATGTCAGCAACTTACACCTGCTTTTTACTTAGCTATAGCTTTGTTCCCCAAAAAATCGTATATGCTTTTAAATGATACCAAATTGTCAAAATTATTAAAATAACCTATTTAGTGCTTCCATAACAGAAAATCTATGATTTACTTATTCCAGTCATTCCACAGTTTTGTTTTTTGTTTTTGGAGCATGTGAGGACAATTATATATGTGAGCAGAATTTTAACTTAAAGCATTTCTATTGTAATACATTGTATTCTAATGTAGTAGGAAATCTGATCGGTTCATTCAAATATTGAGCATCTACTCTGAGTCAGGCATTATACAAGCTGCTGAACATACAGATACCAAGAGGACAGAGTTCATCTGCTTAGAGAACTTAGATGTAACTTGCAGAGCAGTAAACAAAAGTAAAGATAAAATAATTTAAGTGTAAAATCAGAAGTCGTGATAAAGACCTTGAAACAATATAAACAGGAAGTAAACAAAAGTAAGACCTCTAATAATTGAAAGTTGTGTTAAGTACTATGATCCAAATAAGGAAATAAAAAGGAGAAAAGTGGAAGGAGGCTACCTATTCTATGTACTCTTTAAGGAAATCACTTGTCCTCATCTGAGACCTGAAGAGAGAGGAGTCACTCATGGGAAGATTAGAAATCATTTTAACTATGGGAAGTAGATGTGTCTTTTAACTAATGAGAATAGGGTTCAGGAAGATTTTATGGGAGAGTTAAAATGTCAGGAACATTTGATATATAGTAAGAGATCTGTCATTGAGAAACCTTAGAGGAGTCATGAAGTAGGCAGACTACAAAGGCAGTGGTGATTGCTTAAGATCAAGGCTAGGGACTTGTAGCTCTGATATTTTAGTATATTCCCTTTCCTGAGCTAAAGAGACTATTTAATGCAGATTTCCCCATGCCCTGCTTAAAAATATAAAATTGTCCCTTTATATAAAATATAAAATTGTCCCTCATGGCCTCATGTCCCTCAGTTGTTCATTTGGCTTTTATTTATTTATTTTTTTTTAAGATTTTATTTATTTGACAGAGATCACAAGTAGGCAGAAAGATAGGCAGAGAAAGAGGTGGAAGCAGGCTTCCTGCTGAGCAGAGAGCCCGATGTGGGCCTGGATCCCAGGACCCTGAGACCATGACCCAAGTCAAAGGCAGTGGCTTAACCCACTGAGCCACCCAGGTGCCCCTTCATTTGGCTTTTAAAGATGTCCATGAACTGGGTGCCTGGGTGGCTCCGATGGTTAAGCACATGCCTTTGGCTCAGGTCATGATCCCGGGGTCCTGGGATTGAGTACCACATCAGGCTCCCTGCTCAGTGGGGAGCCTGCTTCCCCCCCCATCTATCCCCCCTTCTTGTGCTCTTTCTCTCACTCTCAAATAAATAAATAAAATCTTTAAAAAAAAAAAAGATGTTCATGAACTGATCCCATTTTGTATAGCCAGCTTATCTCAACTAGTTATTTGTTGTATTTTGCAGAATTTCCCTGACTGCCAAACAGAATTTGCATTGCCATTTTTTAGGTATTATTAAAATTCAGTGTTGTACCTATAAATCATTGTATAAAGACTTGGCTTGAATAAAACTGGATAAATATTTATTACAGCACAAGATAAATAAGGTATAATATAGGAGCTGATGGATACAAAGTGTTAATGCCTACCACTCTATATACACTATATGTGAGCTGCTTTTTTTTTGCTACTACTACTAAATTATGTTTTATTATTTACTTGAAAAGTAGAGGATGGCTAAAATTGTCTTAATTTCAAATACAACTGAAGGTATAAAATGCTTGCTAGCTCTCAGATTTGTTCCTAATTAACATGGTTTTGTTCCAAGGTATTTCCTGTTTTTCCTGCAAGGTAATTAATCCACTTACCTGCTGAAGGAGTTAGAGTTTGTTTGTTTGTTTGTTTATTTGTTTGTTTTCAAATACCTGATATATTCAGTGTTGCTACTCAGGCAGGAAAGGCTATCCAGTGCATTATGATCTAATTTTTGGTTTTTGTGTTTTCTCAGTTGGGAGCAGAAAGTGCCGATAGCATTGGTGCTGTGTTAAATAGCAAAGATGAGCAGAGAGAAATTGCTGAAACAAGAGAAACTTGCAGGTCAGTTGAATCATTTTTTTTTTTAAGCGACATGTTAATATTGTGAAAGGGTTATTGTTTGCTTTTTTAAAAAAAATTTATTAGAAGGAGAGCATTAGTGGGCTGGGGGGCAGAGGGAAAGGGACAAGCAGACTCCCCGATGAGCAGGGACCCCCGCCCCCCCATTATGGGGCTTAATCCCAAGACCCCAGATCATGACCTGAGCCGAAGGCAGACGCTTAACTGCTTGAGCCACCAAGGTGCTCTTGGTTATTTTTTTAACAAACAAATAATCCTAGGTATGAAGTGTGTTATGACAAGCATCAAAGTAAAGATTTCAGAAATACTGATTTTTGGTTTTTAGTACTCATGAACTATGAAACACTTTCTGAATATAGTACTCATTCATAAAGTAGTTAGAGTGGAATTTTAGACTAAGAATTAGCTTATACACCATGGATTAAATAGTTATATTTACAAATTCTTTTAAAGAAAAACATACTTTACCCTAAAAGTGGTATTCATTTGGTAGTTCATAAAGCACTTCAGAATTTTTCAGTATTCTGGATATTAATTTGAATATCAATTTTGCTTAAGGCAATTCAGAATGATATATAATATAGAAGTTTCTTTTTGCCATACATCCATTATAAAAGCTTATTTTCTGATTTGGTTGCTTTCTCCTAAAAGTAAAATACAGAATTGACATTCAGGTTGTGTGATTTTTTTTTTTTTTTTAATTTATAAACTAGTTGAATGAATAAATACTGTTTAATCAGAAAAAATGTGCCTTGTTCTGTTTTTATAAACTGTTATTTAATATTATTAATAGCTGCCATTTATACATCTTTCTATATCTGTGTGTGACACTTCAGTTTTAATTTTCAGGGCTTCCTACGACACCTCTGCTCCAAATGCAAAACGTAAGTATCAGGATGAAGGAGAGACAGATGAAGACAAAATGGAAGAATATAAGGCAAGTAGAGAACAGGGCAATTTTCTGATCAAGAAAAATATAAATCCTTACAATAATTCTTTTTCTTTTAAATTTATTTTTATTATTTTTTAAAGATTTTATTTATTTATTTGAAAGAGAGAAAGTGCACAGAGGGAGAGTGCAGACTCCCCGCTGTGCAGGGAGCCCAACATAGGGCTCAGTCCCAGGGGATCATGACCCAAGCCAAAGGCAGACACTGAGCTACCCAGGCGGCCCACAGTAGATTCTTATCCAGGAAAATAAATTTAATGAAAGCTCAATTTTAAGCTTTCTAAAGTAAATGTCAGTAGCCTATGTATGCAGGCATACCTTGAAGATACTGCAGGTTTGGTTCCAGACCATCACAAAGAAGTGAATATCGCAGTAGAGCAAGTCAAGTGAAATTTTTGGTCTCCCATTGCATATAAAAGTTATGTCTACACTATCTTATAGTCTGTGAAATGTGCAGTAGCATTAATATCTAATAAAGCAAGGTATATACCTTAATTTAAATACTTTATTGCTGGGATGCCTGGGTGGCTTAGTCAGTTAAGGATCTGCCTTTGGCTCTGTTCGTGATCTCAGGGTCCTGGGGTCGAGTCCCACATCAGGTTTCTTGCTCAGCTAGGAGCCTGCTTATCCTTCTGCGTGCTCTTCCCCCTGCTTGTGTTCTCTCTCTCTCTCTCTGACAAATAAATAAAAAAAACTTAAAAAAAAATGTTTTATTGCTAAAAAATGCTAGCCATCTTTTGAGCTTTTCAGCGAGTTTTAATCTTTTTTTTTTTTTTTTTTTTTTTTTTGCTGGTGGAGGGTCTTGCCTCAGGGTTGCTACAGCTTCCACATCAGTGCTTGCTGCTTCACCTTACGCTTTTATGTTATGAAGATGGTTTCTTTCCTTAAACCTCATGAACTGACCTTTATTAGCTTCCAGCTTTCCTTCTGTGGTGTCCTTACCTCTCTCAGGCCTCATAGAATTGAAGACAGTGAGGGCCTTGCTCTAGATTAGGTTTTGGCCAAAGGGAATGCTGTGGCTGGTTTGATTTTCTCTCCAGACCAATAAGCTTTTTCCGTATCAGAAATAAAACTGTTTACTTTCTTACCATCTGATAAAAATAGTAGATTCATATGGTTTTTAAGAGAAATAAAATTTTCCCATTGGTGGTCATGTCTTTCATGATTTGAGCTAAATCCCAGTATTCACAGTATGACGAGATAAATAATATTAGACAATTCAGTCAACAAAATCAGTAGTTATAGATAGGTATTTATTGATGAGAATGAAAAGGAAATTTTTATTTATTATAAAAATAACTAGGTAATGAAAAGCATGCAAAGACTTCAGCGTTTGACTTTAATGATAATTTGAAAAATTATATCTTAGGGAAATGAAATATTTATATTAAGTCTTGGGGTGCTTGGGTGACTCACTTGGTTAAGCATCTGCCTTCGGCTCAGGTCATGATCCCAGGGTCCTGGGATTGAGCCCCACATCAGGCTCCTTGCTCAGCAGGGAGCCTGCTCCTTCTCCCTCTGCCTGCTGCTCCTCCTGCTGATGTTCTCTATCAAATAAATAAAAGCTTAAAAAAAGAAGTTATATTGAGTCTTACTACTCAAGATATCATAAATACATAAAATATTCCTTCCATACATAAAATGTCTGTTTAATCTTCCTTTTCCAAGGATGAATTAGAAATGCAACAGGAAGAAGAGAATTTGCCTTATGAAGAAGAGATTTATAAAGATTCTAGTACTTTTCTTAAGGTAAATAAATTTTCATATTATAAGTCTTCACATTTCAGCTCTATGCATGAAAAAATTTTAAATACTTACTATTTTCAATATTTTTCAGTTTATGAGGAATCATCATTATAAAATAAAAATAATTTAAAATTATTCTTGAAATAATCTTCTGATACTTGGCTATTTAGGATGAGATAATGCTATATCAATGTCTGTGGCCACTAAAGAGTATTACTGTCATTTTAGTTGTGTTTCCAAATATTACTGATTTTTTTTAATCTATGTATCAACTTCTATTTTGTATGGCCTCATAATAAAAAATAAAGTACAGAGTTAGTGTATCTGCCATTAGAGTAAAATGCTCTTAATTTAATTTTGACTTTTTCTTTAGGGAACGCAGAGTTTAAATCCCCATAATGATTACTGCCAACATTTTGTAGACACTGGACATAGACCTCAAAATTTCATCAGGGATGTAGGTATGTTAGATTTGTTGGGAATATGCTATTGCTAACTCTTGATTACATGCATGTACTTTATCCATTTTGTGGATTATTTCTAACAAAATCATTTTTCCTGGCTTGGCTTTTCTAATTCCATAATTATTTTTCCTGGCTTCCTATTTTTATTCTCCATACTTCTAGTATACCCTCCTTTCCTTCCAGCAGTGTTCCTCTCTCCCTTCCTTCCTTCCTTCTTCAGTTTGGTTCTGTGATTATCCTTGCATTTTTTATTTTACCTTCATTTTTTCCCTCTTCAGGGCTTTGCCTTTTGTTTGTAGGCCTGATTTTCTCACCTATATTATTTTTTCCCTTGTCTCTAAAGAATTTAACATTTCATGCAAGCCGACTCTGTTGGCAACAAATTTCCTCAATTTTTTTTTTCTAAGAAAGTATTTCTCTTTCACTTTGGAAGAATAATTTCACAGAGTATAGGATTCTTGGCTGGTGTTTTATTCCTTTCAACACTTTAAATATTTCACTCCAATCTTTTCTTGCTTGCATGTTTCTAAGATACTGGATATAACTGTTATCGTTTTGTTTATCTTTCTATTCTTCTGTAGGCATGGTGTTCTTTCCCTCTGGTTTCTTTAGGATTTTTTCTTTATCTTTAACGTTCTGTAGTTTGAAAATGATATGCCATAAGTTTAGGGTTTTTGGCATTATATGGTTCGATATTCTCTCTGCTTTCTGGATTTGGTTTGTTGTCTGATATTAATTTGGAGAAATTCTCAGTCATTTTATTTTAGATATTTCTTCTCTTCTCTCTCTCGTTCTTTTGATATTTCCCTTACACACATTACATCTTTTGTAATTGTCCCATGGTTCTTGGATTTTCTAGCTTTTTTTTTTTGTTTTTTTTGTTTTTTTCAGATTTTGTTCTCTTTGCTTTTCAATTTTTGAGATATCCTCAAGCTCAGAGATTCTTTCCTCAGCCCCTGTCCAGTTTACTAAGTCCCTCAAATGTATTACCCCTGCATTTTTAAAAACAGCTTTATTGAGATTATCATGTACCATATAGGTCACCCATTTTAAAGGGTATAATTCTGGTTTGTTTTGTTTTGTTTTATTTTTAGTAAATCCAGTTTGTACAGTCATTACCACAATCTAATTTTCATCTCCACTAAAGAAACTCAATACCCATTACTAGTTAGTTCCCATGACCTCCTCCTCATCTGCCCCCTAACCTTAAGTAACCATTAATTAACTTTCTATTTCTAGCAATTTGCCTATTCTAAACATTTCACATAAGTGGAATTGTACAATATGTGGTATTTTGTGACTGATTTCTTTGACTTGGCACAATGTTTTCAAGGGTTGTTGATGTTGTGGCATAAACCAGTACTTCATTTATTTTGACTGCCAAATAATATTCCATTGTATGTATATACCACATTTTGTTTATCCATTCATTTGGGTTGTTTCCACCTTTTGACTGTTATAAATTGCTGCATGAATATTCATGTAAAATTCTTGTGTAAACATATGCTTTCATTTCTCCTAGGCATATAGCTAAGAGTAGAATTGTTGGGTCATGTGTTAATTCTCTGTTTAGCTTTTGGGGGAACTGCATAATTACTTTCCAAAGCAGCTGTACCATTTGACATTCCTCCCAGTAGTATATCGGGGTTCCAGTTTCTTCCCATTTACTGTTACCTGTCTTTTTAATGATAGCCATCCTAGTGGGTATGAAGGGATTTTGACTTGCATTTTCCTAGTGATGACTAATGATGTTCGGCATCTTTTCATATTTGTTGGCTATTTAAATACTTTGGAAAAATATCCAAACTCTTTGCCTATTTTTTAAGTGGTTATTTAAAGCCTTTTTATTATTACATTGTAAGAGTTTATATTCTCAGTCCAAGTCTCTTATTAGACATATGATTTGCAAGTATTTTCTCCCATTCTGTGGGTTGCCTTTTTACTTTCTCGATGGCATCATTTGCCACACACGAAAAAATTTAATTTTGATACTATCTGATTTATTATTTCTGTGTTGCTCACAAGCAACTCTTGAAGTTACTCTTGAAGTAGAAACTGATTTTAGTGTTTTCATGAGCAAAATTAGCTGTAGCGTAAAAAGTTATGATAATGTGAAGTGAAATAAGCCAGTCACGGAACAAATATGCAAATACTTAAGTACCTAATAGGGTATATGTAATATAAATACAGTAAAATAGTCAAACTCATGGAATCAGAGAACAGTGGTTATCAAGGACTAGAAGAATGGGTAAATAGGGAGTTGTAACTGAATTGATAAAAAGTTTCGGTTATGCAAGATGAATTAGTTCTAGAGATCTATTGTGTAGCATTGTGCTTGTAGTCAGCAATGCTGTTAACTGTAGTCAATAAAACTTTAAAAATTTGTTAAGGGTAGATCACATCTTAAGCGTTCTTACACACATGCACAGACACACACACACACCCAGAGGAACACAAGAAAACTTCTAGAGGTGATGGATGTGTCTGTTGCCTTGGTTGTGATGATTTCACGGATGGATGCATATGTCTAAACTCATCAAATTATGTATATTAAATATGTGTGTTTGTATACGTTGGTTATACTTCAGTAAAGCTGTTTTTTATGATAGCTGTATAACTGAATTTCAGGATCCACCTTTATGCTTTTAAGATATATATTTTCCCACAGCAAAGATAAAGTACTTAGGAAACTATTACGGATTGAGAAGAACTTAAATTTTCTGTTATAGAAGAGTGAGAGCCGATTCTACTGTGATTAAAACCTGATTATAATAAAATCTTTAAACTTGTTTTATTTGCAATTTGTTTTCTAAGCACTGATTGAAGAGGCTTTACGAAATCTTTCACTTTTTGATATTAAGGTTATTAATGTCTGTACTTTTGGTTTTTAAATTGAGATGCTTATATGTTTTATATTGTTAGGAATATGTTTCTTGGGGTGAGGGGGAAGAAAAACCAAATAAAAGATTTTAGGAATCTTTGATATTCAAAGCCCTACTTATCCCTATAGTTGCTTAAACAGGCATTATGCTGCTTTACTTAAAATCTCTTCTGAGCTCAAAGATCTAAAACATTTTTGAGGACATGGGAACAGTGAGTCTTGTGTTTTTAAGTACGCTTTGTAGGACTTATATATGTTTTTTAAGATCTTAAGCCTCAAAATAAATATGGGGATTTGGTTCATAATGACAAGGAGATGTGAAATCTTTAAAATTATAAATAATGATATAAGAAATACTCATAAAGAAAACAACTTGTCTTGGAGGTGAGAGGTAGTCTACTATTAGGGACTCATTATCTTCTTTACTAGATTTGTTCTAGGGTTGTGTCCATGAGCCATAGCCAATTAATTTAAGGTCATCAGCTGTGTTTCTCTCATCTCTAACTATTCTTTGTTTCTTCCTATATGTAATCATAAGAAAGAAAATAAATACTCATTTTCTCTGCCTTTGATAACTATTTAAGAAGCTGAATACAAACCTCAGTAATCACTAGCTTCTTAAGGAGAAAGAATTCTTTTAGCTAAAAGAAAGGGGGAAGACATGGTAGAGGAAGGCAGTTGTTCTTTTCTTTCCCTCAGAACAGAATGGCTTAACTTAATGCTGTGAGCAGATTTAACTTAAATATGAGAGATTAAATGGCTTATTAATTTGGACTGAGCTTTAGAACATCTGGGTTTTTGCCTCCATCTGGGATTAGGGTTATTAGATATGAAATATATATTTGTGAAATATTTAAAAAATAGTCAAAATTAACTTTTTTAAAAGGACACAAAAATAAAGTGGTGATTGTGTATTGTTGTGTTCTCCTGAGAGGGCTCATAACCTTTGAATTCACTGATACTAATTTCCATTGTATTGAAATTTAGTATTTACTATTTTTTGTCCTCAGGTTTGGCTGACAGATTTGAGGAATACCCCAAACTGAGGGAGCTCATCAGGCTGAAGGATGAGTTAATAGCTAAATCAAACACTCCTCCGATGTAAGTGTGTTTTTTCAGTTTTCATTCCCAACTCGGGCTTAAAATAGCAGGTTTTTTTTTATCCTGTAGCCTTTCTGTTTGAAAAAAATTCAGCACCTATATAATGTTAACAAACTTTTCCTGTGTATGGTAAAATAGATTCCTTTGACATTCCAGTGCTGAGTGCTCTCATTTTATTTTATTTTTTTAGTTTCCTAGATAATTTCTTTAAAGTGTCTCTAAATGTTTTCTTAGAAAAATAATTCATGTTTGTTGTATCTTGAGTTTCTTAAAATGTTTTTGAATGACTTTTCCTTTCAAAAAGCAGTTTATTTGTTGAAGGAAGTTTAGAAAACTTAGATGAAGGAAAAGAAAAAATAAAGGTTATTATAACTCAGCATTCAGGGATACTAGTCTTAACATATGGATTATGAAAGTTCATTTTAACCTTTGCTAAACAGTATAATGTTTTCCTCAAAAATGTGTAAAAAGTCTTTGAAATTGGAAAATCTACTTAATTCACATTTAGCTTACTTTGAACATTTTATACATTTAACAATTTGCTAAAATATATTCTTTTAGGGATTAGAAGAAGCACAAAGAAGTCCGAGTGTATGGAGAAAAATATTAGCAGATTCTAACATTCATCCAATTTAAAAACCTGTTAAAGTATTTTGTATTTAAATTATTTTAATATTATGTATTAAAAAAACCTTTCAATAAAGGCTAGTCGTAATTTATACTAGGTGGCCAGAAAAGGCTATTAATATAAACAATTCTACTAACAAACAAACTGATAAAAGAAAATTATACGCATCTTTAGAAACAATTTTTTAGAAGGAGGCTTTTAAAGCTAACAAATAGTTTTTCTAACTTAACAATTAAGAAAAAATAATGTGGTAGTCCTTAGGAGATTCAGATGATGATGAAATGGGGCTCAGAGATTTACTCACACTCATATGGAATTTTAGTATAAAAATGAGAGAAGTACATTCTTGATGTACATAGGGGAATTTGATTTTATTTTGTAGTGTGATTATAGCCATCTTGTAGAGAAGAGTGTTGGTAGATGGTTTACTGTCTATACTGAGGAAAGATACTCCTGCATAAAAAAGGTATTCAGTAATTAGTTTATGATTACTTTGTAAATAGTGTTTAGTAATATTTAAGAAATTCCTTTCATTATTATCTGTAAGGTATTTGAAAATCTCTTAGTCACTTTTTATGCCTTAATCAAATAGGTACTTACAAGCAGATATAGAAGCCTTTGACATCAGAGAACTGACACCTAAATTTGATGTGATTCTTCTGGAACCCCCTTTAGAAGAATATTACAGAGAAACTGGCATCACTGCTAATGAAAAATGCTGGACTTGGGATGATGTATGATGAAACTTTCTACATTGTAATTATTTCTTTTTCAATGAATATTTATTTGATGAGAAGATTATAAATATTCCCATATTTTTAGGAATCATAAATATATAATATATAAAGTGGCAGAAGATCCAGGGTACATTGACAGTTTTACACTATCTTTGGTCTGATTCTTCTTTTTGGGGCAGAAGTTGAAGAGGTAGTGAGTAAATAGTCTGTGGAAGACTTACAGTTCCAGTCTTAAGAGTCCTTGGATGTATAACTAGGAGAGTCTAAAGCCAGAATGACTGGTAATTCTTTCTGCATTTGCTTAGTTTTTAGTAAACATTAGAGTATAATATATATATATGTAAAACATGATTTCTTTTTGAGGAACTTACAGTATAATGGGTAAAAAAGATACATAATTTTAGTATAATATAATTGTGATAAAATCACATTTTCCTAAATAAAATTAGGCAAGCTGGTAACTTCAGTCAGTTACATAAAGTTATCTGTTTTTACTGATCAATAACAAAAATAAATACTTACTGAGCACTACTCTGTGCTAGGCAATGTGGTAGGTACTGGAGATTCAAAGGTGAATAAACCCTGGTACTTGGACTTAAGGAGAATGTAATTTAATGGGATAAATATTGACCTAAACAGATAATTGCATTATTATTTTGTTAGTTCTATAACAGAGGACTGCATAAGATGATCTGAGAAAAACTGACCAAGCCTTGGAGGATGGGGTACGTGAACAAAGAGGAGGTGACACATTAACAGTATAAATACACTAGTTGTAATTGGCCAGATAAAGAAAGGAATAGGATGGTGATTCCAGATGGAAAGAACAGTAAGAGCAGAAGGGATGGAGACAAAGACTATCTGGTTTGTAGGTTGATGTTAGAACATAGATTGGTCCTTTCTTGCGATGATGTCTTCTTAGAAGCTTAAACTTTTATCCTGAAGACCTTATGGAGTCTTTGAAGGGCTTTAACCGGTTTAGTTCAGTGGTCAGATTAGTGTGTGGAGTATGCACTAGAGGAAAAGTCTGGAAAGGGGAGAGCAGTTAGAAGACTGTTGTAGTAGCCTAGTTAGGAGATGAAGGGACCATAAATAGGGGTAATGGTAGTAAGAATAGAAAGGTGATAAATTCAGTAATGTGTAATAGGTACTGTGATGAGCTCTAGTGATTGGAATGAGGGGGGAGAGTTAAGGATGATTTGAAGGTTTAAGTCTTGGGATAGGTAGGTTGATTTTTCACCAGTTGAGAAAGAGTGAATTTAAGAAGAGCTGGATTAGAGGGATTAGATCATATTGAACATGTTGATTTTGAGGTATATGTGAGACATTGATGTGGAGGTTGTAATAGGAATATGTCATTCAAAGGACAGATCTGTGTCTCAAAATACAGATTCAGAAGATGAGTGCATCAAGCCTATGAGAATAGACAAATTTGTCCTAAGATAGTGTCTTAATTAAGATAACATGTGGATTGACAGTAAAGCTTCAGGAAGCTTTTACATTTAAGAGGCACATGTAAAAGAGAGGTCAAAAGAGTGGGTCAGAGATAAATAAGGAAAACCAAGAGTATAAATGTCATAGGGGCCAAGGGAATAGGGAATTTCAAGGAGAGAGTAGGCAGGAATGTTGAGCACAGAAGGGAGGTTGGGAAAGGAAAGGACTGACATCTGTCAAGACTGGTGTTTCATAGGAAATGGTGCTGAATCCTTGCATGTCCTCCTGTTTAATGATAGTTAACTTCTATTATTTAATCTTCAGGATATACCTCTGGTTTTTCCTCCTTGAAGCTTTTCCTTTCATCTCAATCCCTCAGACACTTTTATTTACATATTTATAGATACTACCACTTGGAAAGGTTTTTCCCATCCTCTGATAATAAATATAATTTGTACTTATTGAAATTCAGAAAGGTAACAGTATATAGTATTCTAAAGGTGACGCAAAAGACATAATACTCTCAATATTTATTGCTGGGAATTTTCCAGATAGGTTGCACAAATTTACGTTCCTTCCAGTTATGTTTAAGAAACATCTGTGTAGGGGCGCCTGGGTGGCTCTGTGGGTTAAGCCTCTGCCTTTGGCTCGGGTCATGGTCTCAGGGTCCTGGGATCGAGCCCCGCATCGGGCTCTCTGCTTGGCGGTGAGCCTGCTTCCTCCTCTCTCTGCCTGCCTCTCTGCCTACTTGTGATCTCTCTCTCTCTCTCTCTGTCAAATGAATAAATAAAAAAATCTTTAAAAAAAAAAAAAAAGAAACATCTGTGTAGCCATATCTTCATCAAAATTGACTAATAATATAAAAACAATCTTTGTGACCTTAATCAAAGGAAAGAAAATTGAAAAAAACATCTCATTATGTCCTTGATTATTGTAGTTGGTCCTTGAACAATGTGGATTTGAACTGCACGATTTCAGTTATACATGGATTTTTTACAGAAAAGTAGTGTAAATATATTTTCTCTTCCTTAGGATTTTCTTAGTAACATTTTTTCTCTAGCTTACTTTAAGTATAGAGTGTAAATACATATAACATATAAAATGTGTTAATTGACTGTTTATGTTATCGGTAGGGCTTCTAGTCAACAGTAGGTATAAGTAGTTAAGCTTTGGGGAGTCAGGAGTTATACTCGCATTTTTATGGGGGGTATGAGTTGGTGCCACTAACCCCTGCATTGTTCATGTGTCACCTGAAACTAGGCTGAACTTTATTTTCTCTGGCCAGTCTCTAAGGTTTGGTGAGTAAAGGCACAAGAGCTTCAATTATATGTGACAGACTAATAGAGTTTTTGAAATAAAGGAACTCTTTTATATGTATATTCTTGATTTCAGTTTAATTTTACTGAACAGCTCTGGCTGGCATGGTTGAAATGTTTTGTCTGGCCCTTGAGCCCTAAGTTCTTAACCTTTATGTGATAATTTCCTAAAGAAAGTGCCAATAGTTAAACCAACATATAAAATGTAAATAAGAAAGGATTTCACAGGTATTCTCTTTCACATTAGAGAGTCAGTAGTGGTCAACACATTTTGGCAAAGAACATGAGGCCTTATTTAAAATACCAACAATTAGCAATAGAACTGCAGTGTCAAGAGAATAATTCGCTTAATGTTCTTCACTAATATGTGGCATCACTTGTTTTTGTCTATTTCATCTGTAAACATGTAGGAATATGTGTGTGTGTTACATAATTACTTATTCATATTCTTAATGACAGTATTAGATGAGAGATTTCAAGATTTTAAAAAGTCAATATAAAACTCATCAGGTTTATACATATTGTAACTTAGGTCCTTTATTACTGTCAAATAATATTTTTCTTTTTAGATTAAGTTAGAAATGGTAAGCTTATAACATAAATGGATCTGTTACTAAAGTTAATATTTTTAGGGGCACCTGGGTGGCTCAGTGGGGTAAAGCCTCTGCCATCAGCTCAGGTCACGATCTCAGGGTCCTGAGATTAAGCCCCGCATCAGGCTCTCTGCTTGGTAGGGAGCCTGCTTCCCCCTCTCTCTCTGCCTGCCTCTCTGCCTACTTGTGATCTCTGCCTGTCAAATAAATAAATAAATCTTAAAAAAAAAAAAAAGTTAAGATTTTTTAAATAAACGAAACATAAATTTTTGCTTAAACTATGGTCTCTGAAACTTAACTGTGGCGGAAAACTGGAAGAAAAAGAATATCATATAAAATGGTTGGTTTTACAGTTTTTTATGTGACTGTGTGGAAATTTACAGATTTAATTATTTGAACTTTTTTTCAATGTGACATACAAGGGAACACATAAAAGAGAACAACACATACAAAGGAAACAAAATTATACATTAATTTTTGTTACAAGTTTTTATTTAAATTCCACTTAGTGAACATATAGTGTAATATTAGTTTCAAGTGTAGCATTTAGTGATTCATCATTTACATACAATACTAGTGCTCATCACAACCAGTGCCCTCCTTAATGCTCATCATCCATTTAGCTTATCCCCCGCCCACCTCCCTTCATCAACTCTGTTTGTTCTATATAGTTGAGTCTATTTTATTTTTGCCTATGTTTGCCTTTCTCTGTTTTTCCCCTCCTATGTTACTTGTTTTGTTTCCTAAATCCCACATATGAGTAAAATCATATATTTATCTTTCTCTGACTGACTCATTTTGCTTAGCATGTTCTGTAGCTCCATCTGTGTCATTGCAAATGGTAAATATTTGCATTTTTTATGGCTGAGTAATATTCCATTGTAAATATATCTCACATCTTTATCTCTTCATCAGTTGATGGACATTTGGGCTCTTTACATAGTTTGGCTATTGCTGATAATGATGCTATAAACTTCGGGTGCATGTGTCCCTTCAAACCAGTATTTTTATATCCTTTGGGTAAATACCCAGTAGTGCAATTGCTGGATCGTAGGGTAGGGTTCTAGGTTTAACTTTTTAAGGAAACTCCGTACTGTTTTCCAGAGTGTCTGCACCAGTTTGCACTCTCACCAACAGTTACTAAGGGTTCCCCTTTCCCCGCATCCTTGCCAACACCTGTTGTTTCTTGTGTTGTTAATTTTAGCCATTCTGACAGGTGTGAGGTGATATCTCATTGTAGTTTTGATTTGTATTTCCCTGATGATGAGTGACTTTGAGCATCTTTTCATGTGGCTGTTGGCCATCTGTATGTCTTCCTTGGAAAAATTAGACTATTTTTTGGCATTTCAGACTTAAAGTGGTCATTATAATGAAATGTGCATATTGATTTATATAGAACTTATGTAAATACTGGAAACCAAATCTTCCCCAAACATTTGTTATATTTCATTTGAATTTTGTTCCTAATTTGGGGGTAATTTAACCTCTTCCTATTTCAGTTTCTTTTTCTATAAATCATGAAGGGCTGCTCTCAAGCTACATCTTATAGAATTCCATTATTCTATGAATATGGTCCCCCTGTAACATTTTTCTGTATGAAATCAAGTGTGTGTGTGTGTGTGTGTGTTGTGTTTGTTTGTTTTCTCAACATAGAATAAGAAAACAGAATAATTTGTAAGGATAAAATTTATTTGCTAATGAAAATTAGTACATTTAAAGAACACATCTGCTTAAAGTCCTGATAAATCTCAGTGGTTGTTCTTTTAGATTTAGGATGATTGGAAAATGCAGTATTGTTTTGGTTTCCCACAGATTATGAAGTTAGAAATTGATGAGATTGCAGCCCCTCGATCATTTATCTTTCTCTGGTGTGGTTCCGGGGAGGGATTGGACCTTGGAAGAGTGGTAAGATGGTTTTTTTAAATTGGATTTTTAATTCATAAGAAAAAATATAAAAAGTTTGAAGATAGATGTTATTCTGTCCTTTGTTTCTTGAACAGTTGCTAAAATACTCAGAAGGAGAAAATATGTTCAGAAAAGAATGCATGAAAGGCGGTACTCTTCAGTTAACTAGCACTAGGGTTCAGTAAGTCCCAATATAATTTGTTACAACTTCAGAACAGTTTAGACATTTGAAACTGCAGCTCAAAAACAGGCTGCTTAGTGTCATTTACTACTCATTATAAGTAGCTAGAAGGTACTCTTCTGAATAATATTAACTTCTGAATTCCACATAGAAACCAAAACAAATTGGAAAAATAACATGGCATCTGGAACACATGGTTTGAATGATCAAATGAGAGTGAGAAAGAAGTTACATAACACCTGTATTTATTTTAAGCATCTTGTATTTCCTGTATTTCAGGACTTTATTTTTCTTACTGCACTTATTTTGTTGGATTTCTAAATGGAAATAAAGTAGCATATGCCTTTTTATCTAAGAATCATGGGAACATGTGGCTACGTATTAGAAGGCTTCATTCAGTTTGCGTCTCAGTTCTGTCTAACAATGAAACTTGGGCAAAGAGATTTTTACTCTGGTGGGTTTCCGTTTCTTCACTTGTTACTAGATGACACCTTCCATTTTTAGGATATATTACTTGTTATACAGCAGATAATCTCATTTAAGCCTAGTAATTTTAGGAAGTGTCCGTTTGACAGGTGAAGAATTTAAGTAGGATTATTTTGAGATAAATTTATGCTAAAATCCTGAAATTCTGCAGTTACTTTGTATTCTTTATATAAATAACAAGTTTGAGACTGTTAGATACATCCTTGCTTGTGTCATTTATTAATTCCAATGTAAGACTATAACTGCATTCCAATTGGGTATCTATTTTTTGCTGGCACCTCTCCAAGAAGCTCTGGAAAAACTAAGAAAATAGAAATATACTGTATGTTTTTATAGGTATGTTGGTATTTACCTTTTATAGCTGCTAATGTCTGGCTTTGGGCTTGCCTTCCACCTCCCAAATTAGGTTGAAAATGATTAGGAGGTTTTATTGTATTTGTTTATGTAGTAGTCTGTCATATTGGTGAAAGCAGATTTTGGCCAAAAATTATTGCAAAAATAATTTAGCATTAGAAATACTTACAGGCTTTTTGTTAAATTGATTAGGGCATGAGGATTTAGACCCTTGTGGTTTATAATGAATATCCAGTGCAAAACAAATAATTGGCGACAGGAACAGATACTGATCTTGATTTTTGAGATTTTAAAATAAAAATCCAAGTGTCATTTTGAGGTGTTTCTTACTTTACACAGTAAGGGCATTCCTGAAATGAACAGTACCAACAATATTCTACTGCACAATTTAGTTATTTTCCCCCTACTTTCCTCTTAGATCATTTGGGGAGGGGGTATATCTTATGTTTTTATTCCCACCAGCTATGCAGCACATGCATTGGGTAGTGGGGCCTCATTATGCCACTCTAAGCAGTGTATTAGCGAGTATTTGTTACATGTTCTTATATAACAGATTCTAGGACACTAAGGGTCAGATCTCTATTTTCTAGATTGTATAAAGATGAAAGTACAGTTTTATCCAGTAATGAGCTATACACAACAGTTTTAAGGCTTTGAATCTTTTGAAGTTGTTAATATTAAATATATAAAGATAACGCAAGACTCTTCGTTTGAAAAGAAGCTATCAATTAAAATACTTTCCGTAGTTTTTAGCTTTGTCAGAGGATAGAAAATTGAGGTGCTAGGAATCAAATTATCTGTTGAATCTGTTGATTAAAGAGGGGCTGAGTGTTTTATGATTTAAAACCCCCTTTCGGGGCGCCTGGGTGGTTCAGTGGGTTAAAGCCTCTGCCTTTGGCTCAGGTCATGATCTCAGGGTCCTGGGATCGAGTCCCGCATCAGGTTCTCTGCTCGGCAGAGATCCTGCTTCCCTCTCTCTCTCTGCCTGCCTCTCCCATCTACTTGTGATCTCTCTCTGTCAAATAAATAAATAAAATCTTAAAACAAAACAAAACAAAAAAAACCCCTTTCTATTGATTCCAGTGGAAGGTAGTATTAAAGAATTTGGAATATTAGTAAAATTCTGTGTTTTCATATTTAACTTTATTATACTAATATCCAGAATATGTCTATGCATTCTGTATATTGGCTGTTTAAAGACTGGTTTTTCTTTTTTTCTATTTCTGAACTAAAAATTACTGTCACATCTTAGAATTTAGTGTCTCAAACCTCTAGGAAGTTTTTTAGTGCAGTTGGTTATTTTAACTTTTGTTTATTTCTTTTAACTAAGGATTTCTTTTTTTTAATTCTTTTTAGTGTTTACGCAAATGGGGTTACAGAAGATGTGAAGATATTTGTTGGATTAAAACCAATAAAAACAATCCTGGAAAGACTAAGACTTTAGATCCAAAGGCTGTCTTCCAGAGAACAAAGGTATTGCCTTTACTGTTTTGTTATCTTTATTTTCATTATTTTCCCTCAGGCTTTTCCAAATGACTGTATACTATTTAATTTTGGTAGAAAGGTTCTTTTCTTAGATTTGTACAAATGGCATTGAACGTTATAGTAGTACTTCGTTTAATTTTAAAATATTCACCTTGTTAGCTCAACCTTCACTGTGTTAGAGAAGGTAATATGTATTCTTGTATGTCCCAAACTGCTGTAATTCTAAGTCATTATGGACTTTTGGTACCTCTGACCCCTCCAGATTTTTTCCCTTTCCCTGGGCCCAGAAAAAAGAGATGGTAGCAAGACTCTCACAGCTGGTTGGCTTAGAGGGATATTTTTTTCCTTCTCTTTTTCCTACAAGAGAATCCTAAGAACCTACACAAGAACCCCTGAGAACCTCTGCTCCATAAAACTGCCCTGTTACTCTCAGGCTTTAAAAGTTTGTCCTCCGTTCTTTCACTCTTTAGGGAGCAACTGGTGGGAGAGTCTTTCTTATTAAATCTTTCCTAGACTGGAAAGTTCTTTTTAAGGAACCTAAGTTACCCTTGCCATAGTTCATGGAGTCAAGTGAGAGATTAAATTTATTTAACCCATATGCCTGCTATTTAGATTAAAGGTCAAAAAAACAAAAAAGTAAATTGATTTTCTCATTTTTTTTATGTTGAGTCATTAGAAGTCTGTATACATAATTAAAGTCCCCTTTCCATATAAAAAGACTTATATCTTGTATATCATTTTGATCTTGGATCATATATGAAGCCCAGTATAACATCATTTTAAGATTCTAAGGTCAAGTGTCATGCTTCCGTAACTGGAGAAAATAAGTTATCTAGTGTTGCAGAGGAAAAGACTCTGTGGTCATTGACACAGTTCTAAAACATCATGACCCCAAATTTGATACTGTCATGTCTAGCTTCCCTGGCAGTCTTCTCACATCTGGAGGTCCAGGTTTTCCTATTGTGTTTTTGCTGATAGAACTCCTTCCCACAGATTTGGAGAAATGAAGTTTGTTTTGGAATTTGGGACATCAGAAATGTAAAATGTTAGGAAATAAGACTGCTGATGAAGAGAATAATTGGTCTACTCTTACTTTTATTTAGGAACACTGTCTTATGGGGATCAAAGGAACTGTTAAGCGTAGCACAGATGGGGACTTCATTCATGCTAATGTTGACATTGACTTGATTATCACAGAAGAACCTGAAATTGGCAATATTGAAAAGCCTGTTGAAATTTTTCATATAATTGAACATTTTTGCCTTGGTAGAAGACGCCTTCATCTTTTTGGAAGAGATAGTACAATTCGACCAGGTAGGACCTTAGAAAATCTTTAAAAAACTTTATCACCCCTGGGGATATAGGTATCAAGAAATAGTACACATTGCTGTGTTAAATAAAATTCTTGTGATGTGTTTGATTCCTCTTGCTGTACTTCAGATATGCCAAACTCATTCTTGTCTCTTCATGGTCCTCTACTTTCATCCAAATACCTGACAACCTTTTCTCACAACTCTTGTCTAAACTGGCCACCTTCCCCTTATACGCCTCCCCCCCCGCACTTTCCTCCTTCCAACACGCTCTTTCCCCTTACTCTGTTTTCTTTTTCTTCATAACACTTACCATTAGATGAACTGCAAGTTCATTTGGGCGTATGTTTTAGTCAGTTTCTTCAGCATACAGTCTCATGGAAGGCAAATATTGTCTTATTTACTAATTTCTACCCACCATTCAGATGATTCAGTAAATAAAATGTTGAAGAAATGCGTAAGTGAATGGTTAAATAATCCCACAGAAAATAACCATACATTTGTGAAGTACAGATCTTGGCTTAATTAGAAACTAAAATACCTAAGCTTGTTTGCTTACATGTATAGTGGTGCTGTCTTTTCAGAGTTTTAACTTTTTATGAAATCAATATAATGTGAATTTATACTTTGAAAAAAAATGAGTAGAAAATAATTAGACTATTATGGACAAATTTTTTCTTAAAGGGCACAATTTTTATGTGCAGTGTTATTGAAATATCAGTATATTCTGTTTTATTGATTTCTCAGAAAATATAAAAGTAGCATTGCTTTATTCATAATATATAAAAATCAGTCTCTTTGCCTCAGCATGTTAGAAATCCAGTTTAAAGGTGAAAAGAGCCAGAATCTTGTTTTGAAAAGCCTACATTTTATAAAAAGTAAAAAGTTAAAGAACTTACAATAGAATAATTGGCCATAAAAGTACCTAAGAATTTAGAAGAAACTCTGATTTTCATTCTAAAAAAAGTAATCCTTGGGGCACCTGGGTGGCTCAGTTGTTAAGCATCTGCCTTCGGCTCAGGTCTTGATTCCAGGGTCCTTGGATCGAGCCCCGTTGTCAAGCCCCACATCGGGCTCCCTGCTCAACAAGAAGCCTGCTTCTTCCTCTCCCACTCCCCCTGCTTGTGCTCCCTCTCTTGCTGTGTCTCTCTCTATCAAATAAAATCTTTTAAAAAAAGGTATATCCTTTAAAAAAAAAATGTTAAAAAAAAATCCTTAATGTTGCCTTAACTTATGTGTATGACATAATCCACCCCTCTTCTCTCTCCCTGCCCATCAGCTACCTCTGTGTGCTTTGATGAGCAGAGTAACTTGAAGATATTTCAGCTGTAGAAACTCATGGCCTCAACTTTCATGAAATTATGTAAAATAGTAAACAAAGTAAATAGTTGAAAGATCAGTCTTTATTGAACATTTATAGTTAATATGTGGTTTTTCCCATTCCAGATACAATTTAATCAGAAATCATCCTTCTTATAAGCTAAGTTGTATAGCAATGTAGCTGACAAAATTACTTTTGAATACCTATAGAGGTACAACATGTAATGCAAATTCTGAGAAATTGTTTTTATTTACTTCATTTAAGATGTATATTTGAATTAGATGTTGAAGGATGTAATTTTTAGCAGGTTGAAAGGATAGAATGGGCACAGAGGTGGGGTTTTGTGTTTTGTTTTCTTTTACATTATGATGTGTTTTGTTATTTTTTAAGATTTTATTTATTTATTATTAGAGAGAGAGAGAGAGAGAGAGAGAGAGAGGACGAGAGAGGGAGAGGGTCCGAGGGAGAAGCAGACTCCCTGCAGATCAGGGAGCCTGATGCAAGAGACAGTCCTGGGACTCCGGGATCATGACCCAAGCCGAAGGCAGTCAGTTGCTCAACCAGCTGAACTACCCAGGCACCCCACATTATGATGTGTTTTTATTTTTATTTTCAGAGGTGGAGATTTGTATGGAAAGTTATATCTATAGTGATTTTCTTACTCAAATGAAGTCATGAAAAGCATTAATGAAAAATGTGACTGGAAATTTAATTCAGGTTTCATCCTAAAAGACATTAGATACCATATATACGAATCTGCTTTGTGGAGAGTCCTAGAAGATTAGGCAGAGAAGTGACATATTTTAGTTTGTTTTAGGCTTTCTGCTTTCAGAGGGAGGAGAGGCTGGGAGAGCATTACAATATACATGTGTGTTTGTGACATGTGTAGGGGGCTGGCCTAAAAGAAAAATAAAGGCTCATGTTTGAGGGTTGACAGTAGGCATGGAAAATGGAAATGAACAGGAGCAACATGGTAGCGGTTGCGTTTCGGGTGCCTGTCAGCTGGATTAGTGTTGTGGTTGGGAAGAGTAGAGGCAAAAGTTGATTCCAGGATTTTAATCAGAAAACAATGGTATCATTTCTACAAGTAGGAAGGTTAATAAAATTTATTAAATTTTCACTGAACCCAAACTCAGTGTAGTGTGTAATTTTTTTTCTAAGTGCTGCTCTCACAGAATGTGAAATGTGGGTGGAGACAGTAAGGGAGATATTTTATAAAAGTTAACAGTCATGAAGATGAAATAAGATGAAATCTGCATAATGACTAAATGCTGTGCGTTATGTTAAAAAAAAATACTGGATGAGTGATAGGGGCATCTTTATTTTTAATTTTAATGCATCTTTAAAAATACATTTGAAGATTTGAAGTAGCTCCTAAAGAATTAGTAAGAGAAATGGAAAAAAAAAAAAAAGATAATCTTTCCCTCTATTTCAGGCTGGCTTACAGTTGGACCAACTCTTACAAATAGCAACTATAATGCAGAAACCTATGCATCCTACTTTAGTGCTCCTAATTCCTACTTGACTGGATGTACAGAGGAAATTGAGAGACTTCGACCAAAATCACCTCCTCCCAAATCGAAGTCTGATCGGGGAGGCGGAGCTCCCAGGGGCGGAGGAAGAGGTGGAACTTCTGCTGGCCGCGGCCGAGAAAGGAATCGATCTAACTTCCGAGGCGAAAGAGGTGGTTTTAGGGGGGGCCGTGGAGGAGCACACAGAGGTGGCTTTCCACCTCGGTAACTTTTTAAGACACTGATCTGTTAATGCCTCTATATCTTCTTCACTGTAGTTTGATTTCCAACTGGGGGACTTTGTTTAGCATTCAGTTCTGGCTTGCATTTTTCTTTAATTTCTCTAAACTGCAGGAATATTTTAGCCAATCTCTCTCGCAGTTGTTATACACATTGTGTAGTTTTATCCAGGAAAAACAGGTCATCCTGCCTTCGGTCATGTGCATGTAACTTAACAGTGCAACAAACACCTTCCTTTCCGAGACTAATTTATTCTGATAGATTCCAACTAATTACAAAGGCTTTTGCCTTTTAGAAATAGTTTTAAGAGAACAGTGAAAAAGACCCAATCTGTAGCGTCATACTAGTGCCAAGAGCAGTTGATAATGGGCATCCTACCACTGTTGTTGTGGCAAATGGAAAGCTGTTTGGGAGCCTTGATAGAACGGAGTTGGGACAGATGGTTAACTTCTGTCAAAGTTTTAACATTTTCTTGATGAAACAAAGACTTTTTTTTCATTTTAAAAAATCTTATACTCAGATATAATTTGACTACTAGTGAAAAATTGAGAGAATTTGAACAAAATCAGCTCCTCCTAAACCCAAATCCCAATCTGATAGGGGAGGTTGGTGCTCCCAGCGGTGGGCAGAGGAAGAGGTCGAATTTAATAGGCAGACTTAAAAAGAGAGAAAAAGTTCATCATAATTTCAGTTGCAGGTGACTGTTAATCACTTGCTAAGAGGCGAAGGAGGACAAATATCCAAGTGCTAGAACTTTGGTGTAGACTTGGATTGACCTTCAAAGCAGCTTCATATATTCCTTAGCAAAGTAAAAGAAACGAGGCAACAACAGAGAGAACTGGTTAATCAGGTGTTTTGAGAATAAAGTATTTGGTGATGAGGAAATGACATCTTTAAACTTGTTATGGAGAAAACAGTATTAAAAACCAATTACAGAAGACCCTCAACTTAAGACAGCTTAGAAAATGGAATTGCAGTTGCCTTTTATTAAAACCATATGGTGTGTTGTTTTTAAGAGCCTGGTTTTGTAGATCGGTTGGTTGTATAAAGCTTTCTTCTGTCATTTCTCTTTTTATACTGTAACTCATGTTTTAAATGAATTTGATGAATGAAATAACCATTATTGTTCTTGAAAAATATATTTTTTATTTGTGTATGATTTTTCTAATGAAACTTTAAACCCTTGAAATGTGGGAGTCTGTTTTCTGTAAGTGGAATTGCCTTTGTTACCAAATGAAAAAGGACTGACTTAAGATTAGACTTTTTTTTGGTCTTTGATGCATTTTAGTAGCCATTCTCAGCTTTTCATTGGCTCAGTTATACCTCAAGTGATGTTATATTACACACACTAACAACTCAGTTTGAAGATAAGGGCTGAATTACAGAAATAGGGTTGAGATCCTTAAAAGCCTGGTGAATTTAATGTACTCAACCTGTTGGTACTTTGTATTTGACTAATGCCTTTTTTGATGTAGATACGTAGATATGAATCACAGTTGGTTAGAATTTTTACTGAAATGATCCTTTATTTTCAACTTCAGTAATTATAAAGTATCTAGGTAGAACTGCATTTGTCAAAGTTGACATGAGAATAAAGAAGATAAATGTTCTAATTGCCCAGTGTGGGTCTTTAGAAATTCCAGTTAGGAAGTGACCCCATCTTATAAACAAGACTCTCTAGTGTGGTCCATACCTGGGCCTAGCCAAGAGAAGGCAGAGTTCTTAGTGCTTACCTGGCCTAGTTACCTGTGAGATGTACATCATAATGTCATCTTACAGAGAATTAGGAATGGCGTTTTTGTAGGTTGAAAGTTAAATATGCCCACCATATTTAGAATACAGCAAATAAGAAAGGAGGAGGTCATGGGGGAAATGCAAGGCCTAGAATTATCTCTTTGACAATGTAATGTGGAATTTTTATAGCACAGGATGGCATTGACTCACTAGTTTTGCTACCCTTCACTTTCAATAAAGGTTGGGGTTATCATTTTTATGACAGAATCTGTATTCATTGAGGAAACATTTCCAATGAAAACTCAATAATCTGACCTCTTCTGGCTTTTGATCATCTTTATATTCATTTACATGCCTTACATTTTTAAAAAATTATCTAGGAATTACCCAAAATAAGTAATAGTTATTTCACTTACAGATTCCTTATTGGGTAGAAGCTAGTAATTGTGAAATAATCTTACATTTTTCAGTTTAAAAGTTCTAAGATCAGCATATCTGTTATACATAATTACAGTCCTAAGTATTCCAGTCCAAATGTTGATGTTTATTTTCATTGGTAATAGTTCTTTCCTTGTTACATATTTCCCTTCAAAGGATGGAGATTAGGAGGCCTAAAGGACTACAGTTCTTTTGTGGAGGAGTTGATGATGTCATGTAGAACAAATTTTGTGGTGGGGAATATCATACCCAAATACTACTGGACCAGATTAGACCAAGGGATTATGGAGAGATCAGTCCAAGATTAAAATGGCACCATGACACAGCACAATGTGAGAGATGTCAGACTGGGAAGTGGGGATCAAGTGTGGAGAGTCTCATTATGGCAGCCGGTCACATGTCCAAAGTTGGAATGGATCAGCATGCAGCAGCAGTATACTGTTCTGATGCTCAGGTAAGTCAAGAGCCTCCTGAGACCTTAGCCCATAAATCTGGAAGCTTAAACTGTGTGTCTCTGTTCTGAAGCTGCGTAAGAGTCATGCTAAGTTTGATTTTAAGTTGATGGTGTTTTAATGGCAAGATGCCTGCATGTTAGTGTGTTATCCAAAGCTGAGTTCCTGTGTCATGGCTGTTAACTAGGAATGATTCCTTTTTATGTCTTACAGAATACTTCCTACTCATTTTAATTGTTCAATTACAACTTTCTGATTAGTTTCAGCAGCTTATTTTAAAACCTGTACTGCTTTCATCCTGAATTTAACTACAGAAGATTTGGTCTTTGAAGTATAGTTCCAAATTTTTTTCTGATTTGTTTAATCTTTACTACCTTGACAGAATTATGGCCTAGTGGGACTCATTCAAAATAGTAGTTTTTGATCTAAAAGTGTCTTATGTTTTTGTGAGCTATTAAAAACAAATTTTTGCTTGTAAGAAGGGCCTTTCTTCGAACATCCTTGTGGTCCACATAAGATTTTTAGCATTATTCTGTCTTTGATATTTGGTGATAGGAACTGAACTTTGACTTGGGGCTCATATGGAGTCCGTCAGTTCTAAAGCTGTAAATCTAGCACTTTGTAGCCATGGAAGACTCCATTTCTGGAAAAGCCACATTGTTCCTGCTCACAAGGCCTCTACTCAAATAGAAATAGTGCTAGTTGTAGTGCACAGAGAAAAGTACCTCATTTAATCTAGAAAATTATTTTCCAGCAAACCCCCTTTCCACTATTAGGCAGAATGTTAAAATGATCAGTTTGTGTGTGTATGTTACACTTCTTGTCTCTGTGACTGGAGGTGCTAATAAATAGTGAAATTGGTTAAGGTAGGTTTTTTCCAAAAATAATTCTAACTAATGGAGACTCCAGAGGTCAAGAGTATAAAATGCATACAGTAACCAAGTATATAATACAAATTGGTGAAACAAACCATGAATTTGTTTTATAGTGGAGTAATTATCTTTTTTGACATATTTTGTTCGCATATTAAACATGGGAATATTTACTTTCATTTATCTCGCCTGTTTTCCCAGTTTGGTGGGTTTTTTCAAGTCCTAAGAAAAGCAGAGCAGCACAGAGCACTTAATCTCAGGCCCATGGAGTCTAGAGAGAAATGTAGGGGACAGGAGAGCTCACACCCCAGGTAAGGTGGACATCACTACTCAGCTCCACCTCGTTGTCACCACACAGGGAAGACAGTAAGTTTGAGCTATTCATGTGAAATCTCTGTGATTTTTAGATGTTGGCAATTAAATTTGTGTCCTTTGCTACATTTCCTTTTGTTAAAATTAGTTTGGCTAGCTAAATCCCGCATGTGTATTTTAAATTCTGGTCTCTAACCACCAGTGACCAAATTTATTTAAAGAAGAACAAAGGAGCGCATGGGTGGCTCAGTGGGTTAAGCCTCTGCCTTCAGCTCAGGTCATGATCTCAGGGTCCTGGGATCGAGCCCCGCATTGGGCTCTCTGCTCAACAGGGAGCCTGCTTCCCTCTCTCTCTCTGCCTGTCTCTCTGCCTACTTGTGATCCCTCTCTGTCAAATAAATAAAATCTTTAAAAAAAAAATAAGAGCAAAAAAGTTTACTCAATTGGAGCAGGAAGCCATCAGCTTTGGAAGCGTGTGATGTAGTTGATGTACTTTGGAACATTCATAGAAGATCGCAGATGTAGACTAATAACTTTAAAGTGGCATACAGGGGCGCCTCGGTGGCTCAGTCATTAAGCGGCTGCCTTCGGCTCAGGTCATGATCCCAGCATCCTGGGATTGAGCCCCACATCGGGTTCCCTGCTCCACGGGAAGCCTGCTTTTCCCTCTCCTGCTTCCCCTGCTTGTGTTCCCAAACTCACTATCTCTCTCTCTCTGTCAAATAAGTAAATAAAATCTTAAAAAAAAAAAAAAGTGGCATACAGTGACAGGACTGCAAGCCATTTGTCCAGTGGGAGAATATGTAGAGGTCTAGGCCTGTGTTGTCACAAAACATACCTTTTATAGAATCCCATACCTATATTTACAGTTAATATCATAAAAGAGTAACTACTTTTTTTTTTAATAAGTAAAGCCTTTTTAAAAAATTTTTTAAAGATTTTTAAAATTTATTTGACAGAGACAGAGAGAGAGATCACAATAGGCAGAGAGGCAGGCAGAGAGAGATGGGGAAGCAGGCTCCCTGCTGAGGAGAGAGCCTGATGTGGGTCTCTATCCCAGGACCTTGATTCCAGGATCATGACCTGAGCTGAAGGCAGAGGCTTTAACCCACTGAGCCACCCAGGTGCCCCAAGGAGTAGCTACATTATTCTGTTTTGTCTTCTTAAAGCAGAGGACAAAAAATCAGTTTTGTTCAGAGATAGCCAGTCTAGTAGTTTATGCTGGTTAAGTTACTAAGGTAATTGCCTAAATGTCTTACAGAATTTGCTGTCATTTTATAGTTTAATGCTTCTCAAGACAAATTCTGGATAGACACATACTTTAATATTTAGTAAAGGAGAGGCTTTTAATGTAAAAATATTGGTTATAATTCATATGAACTACACTGGTGGATGGATTATTTGGCCTTGTACAAAAAGCTAGGCTTATAAGCATGGTAAATAGGAGCTCCATATTATAGCATACTTTTATACTGTTATATTTTATTGAAAAAAAATTTTTTAAGCATATAGTAGTACTCCCTTATCCATGGGGGATATGTCCTAAGACATCACTGGATGCCAGAAACCAGGGATAATACCAAACCATATATATATATATATATATATATATATATATATATATATATATATATATATATATACACACACACACACACTAAGTTTTTTCCTGTAAATACATACCTAAGATAAAGTTCAGTTTATAAATTCGTTCTACTAAGAGATGAACGACAATAATAATAGAACAATTATAATATACTCTAATAAATGTTAAGTGAATATGGTCTTTTTCAAAATATCTTATTGAACCATACTGCTCCTTCTCGTGATGATGTGAATGTTAAAGTGCCTATGTGATGAGATGAAGTGGGGTGAGGGATACAGGTGTTGTGATGTAAATTAGGCTACTCCTGACCTGACAGTGTGTCAGAGGAGGATCATCTGCTTCTGGACCATGACTGACCTCAAGTAACTGAACCATGGAAGGCAAAACAACAGTTAAAGGGGGACTGCAGGATCATCATAATTAAGAGTATCGTATCTATAAAAATTCCAAAGCAAAATTTAAGCAAATATAATCACAAATGTAAGTTTATCAGCCAACTAAGTTCCTGAATCTTAAATCCCATCTCCTCCATGAGATGAGGCTAACAAGATACTGGATCAATATGGCATTAGAACCTCTTTGGGGAACATTCCTGCTTCTGATTGCTTTCACTTGTCCCAAGTCAAGTGTAAGACTGCCGGAGGTACCTGTCTTTGTCTACTCATTTAGTCCTGACTTATAACCCTGCTGCTTGTGCTCTCAGAAATGAGTCTTTGTCATTTATAAAAAGGCAGCAATATGCTTTCTCAGCTTTTCATGTACGGCACATAGTAAGTGGCTAATAAATAGTCCCTTACTCCTTTGCTTGCTTAGTAACTGGAAAAAATGCCAGAGGATTTTTAATATCCTTCTCTTTCCATTTCTTTTCCCTTCTGCTTTCTTGGCTTCATAAGAGGACTGTTTTTCTAATAAGGATTTTTTTTTCCTCTCAAGAGAACATTATTTTTGAGGCTGAGGCAACAAAGTAATTTCCACTGACTTACCACCTATCAGCAGATTTATAGAATGAATTTTCTCTCATCTGAGTTCAAAGACAGACCTGATTCTTTCCTCAGGTTATACATTTTTTTTCTACCAAATGTAACCTGTAAGGTAAGGAAAACAGTTTAACTACATTTGTATCACCTTGTTAATAACAGGTTAAGTAAAAAGACTACATCCCTCCTATAAGGAATAGTGGACCTAGTAACAGGTTGCTTGAGAGGACAGGGTAGCTGAGGATTGGCTTAGGGGGGCACTCAGGAGTTCTGGGACACTGCTGCTGAGCAGTAACACTGTCAGGGAGAGGTGGCCTCATTCAGAAATAGCTGCATGGCTAGGAAAGTATCCCCAGACATTCATCTAGGCTAGGAATGTCCCTAGACATTCATCTCCCACAAGCACACTGTGGAAGCAGAGAAGCACTGGAATTGAGGAGACTGCGGGTGGGCCTTGACACTAGTCGTCAGTGTGAGCCAAAGAGAGTAGAGCTTCCTTGCCAGTCCTGTGAAATAGACATTCACATTCAATTAGTTTGATTTTTAAAATGTGACCTTTTTTTTTTCCTTTCTCACTAGAGGTTGTACATTCATATCTGCTAAATCTGCTTTGCCCTAATTGATAATGTAATAACCTTTTTCCCAAATAGCATATTGAGCCCTTAAAACATTAATTGAGTAACATTAATCTAAACCCCATGGTATATCCAAAAACTATTTTTCAAACAAGAATAATACATATTTAAAGAGTTTTTCATGACTCAAGAAATGTTCGAAAAATAGGGACTTAGGAAGCTAGTCTTCTATAAAATATCTTAAAATTGAAAATCCTTATTGCAAAAGAGTTTTAGATGTAGGACAGGTAACAATTTTTTAATGTTATTAAAAAAGTACACCCTGAAAGATTTTGCAAAATCCATGTACTCTTGAAACCACCTATAGTCACTATTGTTGTAATGATTATTTCCTTAACTAGACACTAGTCATTTTGCTTCCCTAAATTTATTTTGTTCTTTATGTGAGTTAAAACTGGATTTTCAGGAGCACCTAGGTGGCTCTGTCTATTGAGTCTGCCTTCGGCTCAGGTCATGATCTCAGGGTCCTGGGATTGATTCCCATGTTGGGCTCCCTACTCAGAGGGGAGTCTGCTTCTCCCTCTCCATCTGCCCCTTCTCCTGCTTGTGCTCTCTCTCTCTCAAATAAACAAAATCTTACAAAAACCCCTGGATATTCATGTATTAAGTCTGGATAACAGTGGCTCTGGAAATCATGTTTACAAGGACATGCTTTGAGAATTGGAAGGGTTTGGCCTGGAAGGGACACAATAGCAGTATGTGGTAGCTCTAAACTCTGAAAACTGCTATCCAGTGAACGAAGACTTCACCTATGGCCTCAAGAGAGAGAGTCAGCCGGCACCAAAAGGGAAACATTTCAGGAAAACAATGTGCTAAATACAATTTTCTCACAGACGGAACTCTTCTTAAGTGGCTGCTTAGGGAAGGAGCAAGCTTCTTATCCGTGTCTCAAGAAGAGGCCAAGAAATAGCTGTAAGAGATGATCATGACTAAGGGATTTTTATTGCCTTTTCCCACTGAGATTGTTTTTCTTTTTACCCAGTTTAGTCAGGATTACACCTGTGTTTTCAGCAGTTAAAATTTACAAAGTCAGTTCTCCCCAGAGAATTGCCTTTTCTGAAAGACTATTGACCAACCATTCTGAAAGGTTTCAGACACTTTAGAGTATAATGCCTCCTAGTGGAGCCGAAGTTAAATTTCATGTATCTTTCCATATTCCAAAACATGATCTGAAAATTTGGTCCTTACTCTTACTGTTTTATTAAGAAGCATGTTCCCATCTGACTGAACATTAAAAAAAAATTAACATACCATTCCTAATTATTCTCAGTCTCCTGTCATTAGGTTAGATTTGCAGAAGTGAAGGTAGAGCCATTTAGTAACTTCCTCAAAGATGTGTCTTCTTTTAAGTAAACTCTTCTTCATAATGGCTCCTCCAAATGCAAATATAAATTCTTGTCTTTGGCTTATATTTTACTGGAGTTTTGGTTTTTAACACTTTAAAGCAGTTTAGGCTATAGTTTCCTCATACTGATACATTTATTTTAATATCTGAAACCATCTTTTAATTGGACATTTCTATAGCATTGAAAGATAGCTTGGTTTTGAGGCTATTGGTTAAGATACTCATGGCATAAAAGCAAATACAACTAGGAGTCAGATTAGTCCTAGTTTTCATGATCTTTAGCATGTTTAATAAAAAAAAATACCAATAAAATAACAGCAATGAACACTTAAATAGCACTATGTGTCAGGGATTAGTCTAAGCCCTTTACACTTATTAACCTAATGCTTCAAACAAATGAGTAGGAAACCAAGGCACAGAAAGGTTTCTAACTTGCCCTGAAGTTCCATTTCACATGGAGCTGGTATAGAAATCCAACTCAGTGGTTCCATAGCCCATGAGGATCTACTGTTCTCAAGGTTTAGGAAAGGGAATGTACTATTTCCAAACACCGTGGAATAACACTCACCATTTTTGGCAAGTGGTCCTTCAGGATTCATTGGAGCATTTCCATTATGTATTAGATTTCTTTTCCCATTGAAAGCTAATCTCCATTTGTACTCCACATTATATTACCTTCTGTCTTCCAAGAATCTTACTCTTCCAAATATTTTTTCTCTGTCCAGTCTTCAACATTTTTTTTTGGAGTTGATGTAACAGTACTGCTACTATTTATTTTTCCAATATAATACTGGCTTCTTTCCATCAGCGTTTAAATGTCAAATCCCTGACAGTCTTAAAATAAATCCTGTCCTTCCTCTGTGACTCTCTGATCCCCTTCTTGAGTTGCCTCCCCTCTGACTCCTGTTGTTCAACATATTCCAATCTAGCATTCAAGTTCATTGAGCCTGTAAAAGTGTTGTCACCAAACTCACCCATGACCATTTTACTAATTCCAACATACCTTTTAGTCTTTAACTTCCTTTTCCCAAAGGGAAAGGCTGTAACTTGGCTGCTCACTCTTTCCATGCCCCCCTCTTACCTTGGTTTTGTGATGTCCTCTTGCCAGGTTTTCCTTCTTAACCTCTCTGACCCTTCTCCCAGTCTCCTCAGGTTTCCACTTCATTATCTGTCTCAGGGATTTGCTGCCTTCTCACTACAGAATTCCCCTGGGTTTTTTCATCTATTTTGTACTATTTCTTTTTCTCTGTATGTAGATGACTTGCAAATTTCCAGCCCAGAGCTCTCTCCTGAGACTCAGGCCCATATTTTTAGGTGCTATAGTATATCTCACTTGCATAGTTCACAGGCTACCTTGCGAATTCTCTCAATTATCTGGCTCATGTCTACTAATTCTTTCAGGTCTCAGCTTCAGTGTAATTAATCGGAAATCTTTATGGACTAGACCTTGCTGCCTAGCTAGACTAGGTCACATATCCCTGATTTCATTTATATATTATATATAAATATATAATATATAAATATATTATATATAAATATATAATAAATATTATACATAAATATATATAAATGTATACATATAAAATTTATATATACAAAAAATAAAATGTAATGGCATGTTACACCATTTATGAAAACTGCTGAAATTGTAAAGATGGCAGGGGTTTTGTTTGTGCTGCTTACTATTTGTCTCTCCCATAAAGGGCAGAGTGCTTGGCATATAGAAGAGGTGCGATATTTAAGTTAGAACATACTACTTCATAGAACGGCACATTCTTTGAGCACCTAATTACTTAGAAGGTTCTTCTTTCAATTGAGCTGCACCTTGTCACTTCTTTGTATTGGTTCTGATTTTATACTGTAGGCAAATACGGAACAATCCTTAGATTATCTTCAAATGAATAAAGGAATGTGCTGCTCTGGCCTTCTAGTTTACATAGAGCATGGTGCCTTGAACTGAACAACTCATGTAGGTGTAGTCTGGTCTCACCTCAGAGGAGGGCCATTGCTATACTCATCTCACAGCCTATCCCTGTAAGAGAGTAACCTGATTGCATCTGCTTTTCTCCCACTACAGATTCATGCTGATTCCCTCAGTTCTTTTTTAAGTACTCTTGTTTCCAAGGAGCATCTGCATGTGCATTTTTTTTGGACACTGGTTCAGGATCATACATTTCTTCGTAAACTCATCCAAGTCAATCTGAAACATCATGCCAGTTGCTGACATGGGAATAGAGTTTAATCTTGTTAGTGTATTTGCTGTTCTACTCAATTTCATGACATCTATTAATTTATGAATAAACCTTCCTAGCTGTGTAATCGTAGACAGGTCCTGATTTAATCACTTCAAGTCTATTTCTTCACCCGTGAATGGGGCTGGTAATAAAATTGGAGTTACCATGAGGAATAAATGTTCGCAAAAACACCCAGTGCGGTTCTTAGGACATTGTATGTACTCAATATACTTAACTCTTCTTATTTATTCATATCACTGATACCAAAGTTGAACAGGGCAGATACAGGTCAGATGCCTGTGTCAGACCACACAAAACCACTCTCCTAGGTTTATATATATTCATTAATAATGGTCTCATATAGGCCATTTCTATTATTCTGTCCACAAGGACAGATCAGAGAATTTTTAAAAATGCATTTCTCAAGTACACTGTCTCTGATATTTCCTAGGTTGATTTATTCACCTAACACTTCCCAACCCTCAAAAAAAATTTTTAGTTTTCCACATTTTTTCTTAGTAAACCATTTAAACAGCTTTTTCCCAAGACATGAATACCACCCTTATTTCTTTTTAAAATCTCAAAATACCTAAAAAAATTTCTACCTGTTGAGTAAGACCATATGAAGTAATTTATTGGTACTGGTTAATATCCATTATATACAGGTAGAAACCCTCAAAATTGTACAGAGAACCATTAAGAATATAGATAAAGACAGTTTTATAGACAAAACAACAACTGGAAAACAGTTTTAACATACACAACATATAATTATGAAAAAAAAAGTAGAACACAAATTGTTCTACCAAATAGATTCCAAGGTTATTAAAAGTCTGCTATGCAAACCTTAAGTTGAAAAACATGTTCAATGGGTGTTACATGGTTTAAAAAAATTAGGTATAATGTAAAAATTTTATTTTTTCCCTCACTGCAAATGGGAGAGCCAAGACAACTTTTTACCTCAAATCTATACATTTTGAAAAATAATTTATATGTCTAGCACAAAGAAAGAAAATTGAGAATGTTTACAGTTCTGTAAACTAAGCCTTTCATGAAATGCAAACTGTATCACTTTTAACAGTTAGAAATTGTGCAATCAGAAATAGACTGTTCCCTTTATAAAGGTACAATTGTATCTTCACTGACTTTATACCTGAGCACCAAAGCTTAAGTCCTAAATGTCATCCTGGAAAGCTATTTTGAAAATGAGCAAGAAATCAAAACTAGCCTGTTATCATCTGGAGAATTAGGCACCAAGAAGGAGATTATCTCCTTAGAAATGCAACATTAACAATAGAGAAGATTCAATTAATTAAGCAGCTGGCAGATCTCTTTGTGAACGCAACAAAGGAAATCCACATAAGATGATCCTCCATAAAGTCCTTTGTCTTCTACCAGGAACTGTCGGAAAACCATTTCTGGCTGCTCCCGCTGCTTTACTATTGTCAGCTAGGAAAAAATAATAAGGCTGGTGGTTATAAACATTCTCTGAATGTGGCTCAATTTTATATGCCTGTATTTCACCAAAATTATTTAACGTACATTGTGTGTGAGGCCTTGGAGGATGATGGGAAAGTGCCCATTATCCAGAGTGGAGGGAGGCACTGACCCCCAAACCATAAAAACCCAAGACATACAACACTAAGTGGCAACGATGAAACATAAGAAAAGCACCATGGGAAAGGCTTCACAATGGTAATAATGGTCATTTGAGCCTTAAAGGATAATGTAGGATTTCCTTAAGGATAGGGGTGGGTTTAGTGAGCATTCCATAATGGGGTGCCATACACCATGTACCAAAGACAGACATGGCTAGCAAAATGAATTAATAGTCTTAAAGTCAGTGGAAAGTTAGGGACAAACCACCTCAAGGTTAGGGAAAACTACCTAAATGAGTCTGAGCTTTTGTAGGAATTGTGATCTAGTGAAAGTGCTTCAGGACAAAATGAGTTAACTGGTCGCACTATGAGATGAGGGAAACTCAACAGGAAGCAGAGGCATTGAGGTGGGAGGCGATCGGGATTTGAACTACAGGGCAGTGAAGATGGAAAGGGAAGAGATTTGAGAGGTGCTACATGGGTAGAGCACGTGACCCTTGATCTCAATGTCATGACTTCAAGCCCCACATTAGGCATGGAACCTACTGGAAAAAAAAAAAAAGGAAGAAAAAGAAACAATTGAGAGGCGCTACAGAGGTGGACTGCACAGGGGACCCTTGTTCCCTGCACATAACAATGATCTAGGGCTGTGCAGTCCAGTACTGTAGCCACCAGCAACACGTGATTATCAAACACTTGAAACATGGCTAGTCTGAATTGGGTTGTGCTGTAAATGTAAAATACACAATGGATTTCTAAGACTTTGAGAAAAAGAAAACGTAAAACTCACTAACTGCATATCCATGTGGAAATGCTATTTTGGATACACTGGGTTAATAATATATTACTAAAATGACTCTTCTACATTTCTAACATGACTACTAAGAAATTACATTTGCAGCTTGCATTATTGGACAATGCTGCCCTAGGGGAAGAGGTGCATGGGGAAAAAGCCCAGAAGGGGGCAGCCTTGGCATGAACACTTGGAGCCCTTCCTAGTCCTTACTCACTCACTCACTCCTGTTTTCAGGTAGTCAGAGATGACAATCTGAACGGTCAGAATTTGTTATCTACTGAGCCATGAGTGGAGTTAACAGAGCACACACACAAAACAAGGTCTCCCTGCCTGCTTCATGGCATCCCCTCACTTCCTCTCACCTAGTGAAACCACCAGAAAGGTCTGCAGTTACCGGCTGTAGGGAGAAAGGTACATTGCATTTCGGCCAGGAGGGACTGGCCCTCCCTACTTTTGCTTTAGTTATCAAGTAGAATGATACTGTCAACACAATTTGCCTTCTTTCCTTTATGCTCTTTTGGCCTGGCCCCTAGGCTGATAAGCTTTAAACCACCCCTGGCCTGATAGAAATACAACAGCTGCTGCCACCGCTACAGCTCAGCGAACTTATGTGGATACGGACGGGTGTGGTGTCTTGGCTTTCAGGTGTCATTGCCAGGCACGGGGATGCCGCACTGGAACAGCAGTGTGGACGGGCACACCTCCACCCCAACACAGGGAAGCACAACTAACCTTCAATGGAAACTTCTCCAAAGGAGATTAAAACTTGCATCCTGGTGAGCCTGAAGCCAAGGCCATTTTCTTTTTACTGGTTATTACTGTCCCTGACAGGCAAGAGCAATGTGGGTCTGGCCTCAGTGAAACAGCCCAGGCTGACACTGGGCAGAATGAGACATTGTGAAGGGAAGGATTTGAGACTCTAATTTCTTTAGAATTTAATTTGTCTATGGGAATTAATGGGAGGAAGTCCATATTATACATATGCTGTTGCTGCCATTCACTTGGGTTATTTATTTTCTTTTTTTCTTTTTTTAAAGATTTTATTTATTTATTTGACAGAGAGAGATCACAAGTAGAGAGGCAGGCAGAGAGAGAGGGGGAAGCAGGCTCCCTGCTGAGCAGAGAGAACCTGATGCGGGGCTCGATCCCAGGACCCTGAGACCATGACCTGAGCTGAAGGCAGAGGCTTTAACCCACTGAGCCACCCAGGAGCCCCGGGTTATTTATTTTCGTATGGTGCTCATTGTAAAACTTCCTTCGATGAAGGGTGTCTGGCTATGATCTGAGGTGGAAATCGAATAGGAAATGAATTTCACCTTAGGGAGAAACTTAGCTTTAAGGTAAAAAAAAAAAAAAAAAAACAAACACAAATACCCTGATTCAGGACACCTGGGTGGTTCTGTTGCTTAAACATCTGACTTCGACTCAAGTCATGATCTTCGGGTCCTGGGATGGAGCCCCACATTAGGCTCCCCTACACAGCAGGGAGTCTGCTTCTGCCTCCCCCTCTACCCTTCCCTCTGCTCATGCTGTTTCTGTCTCTCAAATAAATCAATAAATTCTTTAAAAAAAAAAATTCTGGCTCTACCATTTGAGTTTCTATAGACAAAGTTGAACCTCCCACTACTAGTTCCAGAATGACACAGAAAGTATGGTGGAAGGTCTCAGGAAGCAGATTCATGGAAGTGGTGGCAAGCCATCTTAGTTGTCTTGACATGCTGGTGATCTTCTTAAGGAGTAAACCATACAACTAAGGGGAAAAAATACTGGGATGGACTGGGGAATCCATATTTTATCAGCCCCCTTCCATTACCTTTCTATAGGGAGGGAAATAGCCTTGCAGAGTGAGAAGAGAATATTAAAATGATCGTTGCTGGTGTCCCTCCCAGCCTCATGTGTACCCTCTTCATGGAAGAACCGACTATCTCGAGTAGTCCCAGTTTATATTCTCTAGGTCACAGTACCAGGCACCTTAAAGAATCATAGTACTTCAAGAGCCATTCTCATTTCTCATGGCCTGCCTCATAAGAAACAAATAATGAGAGTGATTAGGATCACCCCAAAGAATGAGCTGAATCAGAAGAGAGCAGCAGACACAACTTAGGGGAATGCCAACTCTTCTTAAGGGGCAGATAAACGAAAAGAATCTAAAGAAAAAGTTCAGTTGAGAAAGAAGCATCATGAAAATATGACATTTTGAAAACTGACAGAAGAGAAAATTTGAGGAAAAAGGTAATATTCAATTTTGCAATTGTTGTAAAGGGATTAAGAATCAATTTCTTTAGCTCTTTGGCCACTTCAGATAGCTGGAGACATGGGAGTAAGGGAATGTAAGCAGCTAACAGATAGCTTTTTCAAGAAGCATGGTGATAAAATGCCCGGTACCTTGCTGGTACTTAATACAAGTTTGTAGAATGAAACCAAAGAAAAGGGAAGCAGAATCTTGGAGAATCAGGAGCTTCAATAAAGGTAGATGTGAACAGCTTATAAACTGAAAGGAGCCAATGGGAAGGGACTAATCTAGAAAACACACAGGGAAGAAGAGAATGGCAAACACTGGGAACACAGAGAACTTGGAGCAGGGCAGGACTAGAATTTATCAGTGAGACGTCTGATTTCGGTAGTCTTCCCAGATATCCTGTGATACCAATCTTTCTGTCCCCCACAAATGCAAGACCATGCAGACAATGATAAGGGGATTGTTTAAAAAGCTAATGAGCATAACCCAGAAGGCAGCAGGGCCTTCTGGATTTGATTTTGCTGTTCTTGACCCTTCCATTCCAGTTTTTTAATTCTCCTCTTCAATCTTGACTCTTTAAAAGAGATCTAAAGACTCTATAAATGTGTTTTTATTTCCTTTGTGTGGTCTATTTTCCAAAAGTGAGGACCAAAGGTATAATGCTACGTGCATTGGACTAAGCACCGGGGGCTAGACTTCATCTGTCCTGATCCAGCTGTGAGACAGAAACCCAGAGATTTCCATATCTGTTAGATGGTGCTGGAGGGTGCTGAAAGGCAGCAGTGAGACTAGCTGTCTTCTAGAGTCCTTTCAATTCTAATCTCTATAGATTTTAGAGTTTCAAATTTGTGATACAGATAGTACCCTGAAAAGGCCGAAGAAGTCTTATTAACAACAGATACATTTGCAAGTGGCACATAAGAAAATTTGATTTAAGTAGTCAAGCCAAAATTATTTAACATGGAACTGCTTGTATCTTATTCACATGGGTCCAGAGCTTATCGCAGATATTTTTATAATTAAAGCCAACATGACTTATTAAAGCTAACATGCACTATTAGAGCAGGTGGGAGAAAGCAGAGAGACAGGTTTTATTTTCCCTGGAAGGAGAGGTTCCTGAGCACAAGGATGGTCTCCATGGTTAGCCTCTTCTCTGCAAACGGGGCAGGTGGTGGGGCTGCCGCTCCTGCAGCTGGGATGAAGGTCGAGGGACCATCACTGCTCTGCACTCAATACCACTGGTTCTCATTTTTCGTTTCATGAAACCATAGGTTTAATTACATGCCTCCAAGGCCTTCAGAGAGTGTCCTATGAAAAATGTTTTTACTGTGAGCCTTCTCTGCCATCTCTAGGTCCTACCCTAAAATTGAAGCCAAGTAGATGCCATGTGGTATGAGAACAGTTCTAGAAATGTTCTGTGTTCACCCAGTCATCCTCGAGATTACAAAGCTCTGCATTAATTCGGTTTACCTCAGCACTGCCTAAAGTTGATGTGTGCAAGCATGGATATCTTTCACGGCTAAGGATGTTGACTTACATTAATATCATGTGTATATTTCGGGGAAAAATGACCCCTAAGTCCCTGACCGTTGCAGAGGCCTGCCTCCAGGTGAGGGTCCTATACCGCTGCAGGGAGCAGTACAGTAATAAACCATCACCATTCGTACATCTCAAACTCCAGGAGACTCTCACCTTGAGCTTGAGAAGGAAGACAGATGAGTAGCTGGGACTCGGTAACAAGGCATAATCTTCCCGAGTTATAGACAGTTTATATTCTTTTATTCAACCTGAAGGCTTGAAGGGCTTAGAAAGGCTAAGATAACAAACTTCTCAGAGATCAAAAATCTAAAGTTGTAAAAATAAAATTTTAAAGGTGTTCTGAATGATAGTTCTATATAACTAATTAACTTTAAGCCCTGAAGGCAGTCATTTCATAGTCTGTTAATGATATCAACTGCTACTAAGCCATAAAGAAGTTCTTGATTACTAAGTTAATAATTACTAAAATAACCCATGAGCAACCTGTGGTGATACCTATTTACTTATTTTTTTTTTTATGTTTGCATCTGTTGAGTAGGTAGATATATTAGAGGTTAGTGTGAGTTTTCTACCAAAGATCATGTTATAAAAATACAGGACATGCATTTACAAAGTCTGTAATGAAATATAAATAAACACTTAAAGAAAGGGGAAAAAAATCTCATTCTTACCTTCATTGAATATGGCCTCTTTTGTTGGATAATACTCATTATCATTCTGAGTGTTTGAGAGTATGGGTTTCCAACTTCAGGCAGTGTTTTCTAAATTTAAGAAAACCAAAGGTAAAGTTTCAATGTAATTGATAGCATTTAGATAGAAGCTGCAATGAAATTATTAGAATGTTGAAGTTAGAAAACACCCTTCTACACCATATATTTGATTATTGGCTTAGTTCATTTACCTAAAAACCAAAAATGTGAAAATGCACTAAAAATTGTTCATTCTTATTGGGATACATTTCCACCAACTAACTCTCTATTGAAAATAAACATCCTTCTCTAGAATTTGACACATGTACACCACTGGAAATGACACAACAGGTATATGTTTTATGCAAAGGATATCTTTGGATCAACCACCATGATGTTTAATCCCTTTGTAAGATGGCTACTTCAAGGCTTTGTCATGGGAGAAAAGCTGAACTTTATTCCTTCAGTGGATCCACTGCAGGACCATGAATCGTTACCATATTTAGAAAATGCCATCCAAATACCACTGTTTCAAAATTAAGACAAACCATCAAATGCTGATTTCTCAAGAGGAATATGGTCCCTGAGATACCCTTGAAATCCGGCTAATGGTTTATAAGAGATAACCATCCCACTGCCCCTGGCCTCTGGGGGACATGAAGGATCTGGACTTCACTTCTTCCAATAAGACAAGAGTAAAATGCTTATGATTACTTCTCAAAAAAAAAAAAAAAAAGGTATCAAGAGCTAATATATCATCTGTGACTTAGCCACTGAAAAAGCGAGGTAGAACATTTTACCACAAAGTCACAAGTCTCAGGAAAAGACCATGGCCAATATTTTTCACAGAAGTTTTGGGGGAAAAAAAAAAAAAGGCAGAATATTCATTATTTATATTCACATTTTTGGTGGGTATTTTTTGACACTAAGGCAGATCTTTTTCTGTAACAAATAACATATACACTTCACATACATGTTTTAAAGTGCCAACTGTCTCTAAAATGAAAGTGACATTTGGTTTTTTCTTTTTCTTTTTTGAAGAAGGCTGAGAGGAGGCACATGATATAAGCACAAACCTACCAATCTGCTGCTTTGTGGCGATTTCATATGTAACATTCAATTCAGCAAATATGCATTTAACATTTACTCCAACAATACACTGTGACAGATGAGGAGGCTTCCTTAAATTTTATATAAACATTCTTGAGATTCATAGCTCTTTCCCTACTGAATTTTCATTTTTTTATTTTTTAAAAATTAATTCTAATTTTTAAATTTTTTTTATTTTTAATTTTTTATTTTTAATTCTAATTTTCTAATCATTCCTTAATTTTAACCTATGCAAACATCTTGCTGTTTCTGAATTTTCATCTTAAAACTGTTTTCTTAATGGGATATGGACACCTTTAATTCTTTTAAAAATATTTTCTTAACATTCGTAATGGATATGCATCTCTCTAAACTGACCACCTACCTAGCCTGGAATTTTGACCCTGTCCCTTCTTCCAAGATATTATGTCTCTACCTTCATAAGAGAAATTGGGGAATTCATCTTACCATCATACAAGTGAGGCCTTGGGGAACAAACTATCTGCTGAGTTCTACATGTGTGTTCATAAGAAATCCACCACCAAGCAGAGTAAGACAATAACCATCATAGTAACGATGCTCATGCAAAAATGGTCTATAATTAATTTGCAATTAATGTCGATTTTTAAACAAATGATAATCGCTGGTTTTTCCTAAAGTACTTTAAAAATAAAGTCATTTGTATTTATTTTATATCAAATCCACAATCTCTTTTGTAATGAGGAGAGTATATAACTTATTTATAACAAAGGGGTATATAACCTGTTTTCGTAAGATTATTATTTTGCAACCCATTAATCTGACACAGTCTTGGACTACAGCTGAACATGTATGGAAGATTTCTGCATTCTTTTGAATATGCAGTTCCACACCAGGAAGAGCAGTACAGAGTATGAGAACTGGATTCACTTTCCATCTCTGCTACTGACTACCCGAAAGAACTTGTCTCCAAACCTCAATCGATTCATCTATACAATGTTGACAACAATATCCATCTCATTGATTTGTTGTGACAGTTAAATGGGATGATGTGTTTAAAGTATTTAGAGCAGTGATTAACACACAGTAAATGCTTTGGAAGTGCTGGGCAATCTCTTTTTAAAGTCTGTTTTGGTTGTCTCATAATACTTTATACAAATAACTTTATACCAGCTAATTGTTATTCATTAACACATAAAACTCTCTTTCTTATAAAGAACTACATCCTTTATTGTTTTTTCTACTTTGTAATATGTGGTTGCACATGAACACAAAACATTTAAGAATCTGTACATTACCACAAAAACAATGAAAAAAAAAATACTCACCATATCTGTGTTGATATGCGCAAAAGATGGCACATTAAATATTCCTTGGATCAGTTCTGGAGGGCTACTAACTCCTAACCATAAGAACATGTTGAGACCATTAGCCAATAAGAATATTCCTTCTTCTGAAAGACGGGACTCAGAGCAACGAATAGCAGTGGGTAGGGCTGTACTTTTGACATCTAACGTGTGCTGTGCAGGCAAAGGCAGGAGAGTTAGTAAGTTTGCCATCCTTCCTGTCCCTTCTTCCTCTCTCCCCCTTTTCCTATCACCTCCCTCCTCCCTTCTTTCCTTCTAATGAGTATTTAATGAATGGCTACTGTGTGCCAGGCATTATTCTAGTCATTAGACAGTAACTATTCAAGCACACTAATCATTTTTTGGAAGGAGTAAGAGGCAACAAATAAAATAAGTAAAATACATTGAATTTTAAATGGTGTCAAGTGCTATGAAGAAAAGAAGCAGGAAAGTGGGATAGGGCATGTTAGTGCTGGTAGTACAACTTCAAATAGGGTAGTCTAAGAAGGCTACTTGGGAAGGTAATTTTGCCCAAAGAGATGAGAGACAGGGCCATGGGGATATCTGTGGAAGAGCATTCAGGATGGAGGAAATAGTTGGTGCAAAGATCCTAAGGCAAGAGTCTGTCTCAGATGTTTCAGGATCAGCAAGGAGGCCAGGGTGCCTGGAGTAGAGTGAGGAAGTGGACGAGGTCAGACAGAAAAGGAGAGAGGTTAGTACAGATGGCACTGGGCCAAGGCAGTAGGAAATTTGGTGTTTCCTGAAATGGAAAATCCTAGAGTGTTCTAAGTAGTGTAGGGACATGAGCTCATAATTATTTTAACAGGACCACTCTAACTTTCATGCTGAACACAGACCAGAGAAGCAAATGTGCAAGCCTCAAGGGTTGTTAAGAGGGTCCTGCCATAGTCCACGGGAGAGATGATTATGCCCAAATCTGAGCTGTGACAGATAAGGAGGAGAGAAAGTGGTCAGGACCCAGATATTCTTGGAAAGGAGAGCTGGCATGTTTACTGGTGGATGAGATGTGATGGATAAGAGAACAAGCTTTGGCCTAAAGAACTGGCAAGAGAGAATAGAGGTAAATGGGGATAGAGAAGATTGTAGGAGAGCAGGTGTGGAGAGGAGCTCAGGGCTCAGTTTAAGGTGCCCATTACACATCCACAGAGGGATGCTCAGTAGGCTACAGGATAGACACATCTAGAGTTCCGGACAGTGTTCCGGCTGGAGATACAAATGTGGGAATCAGTATATAAATGGATCTGAAAGGAGAGATGAGCCCCCAACAGGGTTGAGCGCAGATAGACAAGAGAAGCTTCCCAAGGACTGAGCCCCAGGGTACTCTGACAGTAAGAAGAGGACAAGCTAGCAAAGGCAGCAGGAGAAGTGTCCAGGGAAGCAAAGAAACCAGAAGTCAAGTGAAGAAGGTGCTCCTAGAGAGAGAAATAAACTGTGTCAGATGCTGTTGATGGTAAGAGGAGGACCAAGAACTGCCCTTTGGATTTAGCAGCATGCTGGCCACTGGTGACCTTGGCAAGAGGATTTTAGTGGAGTGGTGATGCTCTTATCCCATAAAGTTCTAGTCTGTCTGGCATATAGATTCTTGCTAATTCATTTTTATCTGAAAACCAATCATTTTATAAGAATTCTAGTGTTCATAGTGATCGAAAGAATTAATAGCTTTTAATTTCCAACCTAATTTAACTCTAATACTGACTGAACTGTTCCTGAGAGTCGGAGTATGACTTTCAATATAGGGATTAGAAATAAGTCACCAGCCTTCCCCTCTTTTATCCCTCAATTGTAACTTGAACTTGTTAGGACTCAGGGGAAAAGAGCTTAGCTGCAGAGCACAGGGGCATTCAAGACATTAAGGACTGACTTCAAATAAATGAAATACATGCGAAGTAAATTCTCCAAGGCAAGGGCAAGTGAAGTTGGCCTCTTGTACAGTGTAGACAGCCTCAAATATATCTGATTTGTAAATCCTTGGTTGTATCTAGTCAAGGCGAATCATAGCCATTCTAGTTAAATGCGGTGACTTCTGGACATTCATACATTGTACAGAAACAAATACATGTGTGCACATAAGATCCCATACACACATGTATCCGTTGCCTTTGATGCTATAAGGTAGATTTCTTGAGCAACTGAAGGTTGGCTGGCTCCAACTTGGTTACTAACTCTTCAATCTGCCAGTTTGGGCATGAGGAAAGAAAAGCAATTATCTGAGCAATTCACTGGAAAGGGAACACCCCAAACTCCCACCATCAACATCACCATACCGAACACTTGTTGATGCAAAATACTTGCTTAAAGAGCCTCTGCTCTCGGTCCCACATGACACATTCTAAAGTCACTGGTGACTTTAAATTTCTTAAGAACAAAATGTTCCAGATAGAACATATGGAAAAAGACAAAATATGATTCCCTTCCAGACTCCTCTAGAAAATGCACCACTGCCTTGTACTCACTATTGGCAGAAGCTGTGGGTAGAAGAAAAGCTGAGAGTCGGCCACACCCATGGTCATAACCAGCTGTCTCTGGTACGCCCGCTCATCTGTTGAGATCTCTGGTCTGCTAAGCAGCACACAGTTTTTTAACAAACAATTCATGTACACTGGTAATACTTTCATGGAATCTGGTAAAATAAGCTGAAAGAAGACAGACATTTGTTTCAGACGCTTGACTTTTATGAGAAAGAACCCCTGAGCTTTACCTCTAAGACAAAAAACATCATTTGTTTTTGAGGTAATTGTGAGGATTAAATGAGAACACATACAAGCACACAGAGCACAGAAATTGACACCCATGAGGTATTCAAATAACGGCAGTTAGTCTTCTCTAGGTGCTTTGGCAGAACACAATTCCGTCTCTGCCTCTTAACAGGTGTGTGACCCTGGGCAAACCACTCTCTCTTGTCCTACATTTTCTCATTTAAAACTGGAACAGCCCATCTCCTGCATGATCATGGAATTGTTAGGAGGATTAAATGATTATTAATCTGTGAAGCACTTATAAGGGTACCTAGCACACAGTATTACACACGTTTATTAATAAATGATTTCCTGGGGCACCTGGGTGGCTCAGTTGTTAAGCATCTGCCTTTGGCTCAGGTCATGATCCCAGGGTCCCGGGATCAAGCCCCACATCAGCCTCCCTGCTCAGCAGGAGGCTGGCTTCTCTCTCTTGCACTCCCCCTGTTTGTGTTCCCTCTCTCACTATCTTGTCAAATAAATAAAATCTTTCACAAGATTTTTAATCTTTAAAAAGATCCTAATCTGTGTTACCAATCTCTACCTCTTGAGTTCAAGAAGAGTGTCTTTTTCCACTGTCCATGAGGTATCTCTTCCTTTACGTGCTTCATGTACCTCAAACTCACACAGTTAGCCATAAACTCATCAAACATATATTAAATGCCACCGTGTCATAGGTTCTGTGCAAAGTGTCAATGATAGGTGAGGGGAATAAGGGACAGTTGATGTCCCAAGATGCCAAAGTCCATCAGAGATGGCAGACACATGAATCAATAAAACATAATAAGGAGGTTGTGACACTATAGATATAAACTAAAAAAGGAAACGCTTCCTGGATTTAGGTGTGTCACTACTGAATGGTAACAGGCAAAATCAAACTCCTACAGTTCCAAAAACATACTGTATACAGTTCCAAAAACAAAATCAAACTCCTACAGTTCCAAAAACATACAGTTCCAAAAACATACTGCAAATAACAACACAATGCAGGACTTCTGGATATCTGGTCTACGAATTCATGATTGTTTTCTTAGTGTTCTCACTTAATGAGGAAAAAGAATATATGCTTACTAGACTCCACACTGAAAAGAAACTTTCCCTCAAGGATCTTTAGGATTTATTCCTCCATTTAAATCCTTTCATATTGCAAGTTTCTTCTCATGGTCTACTAAGTAAAGAATGTGCAAGACAGTTTTCTAACTGGTTCAGGCAAACATATTTCAGGACAATTCTATTTTGTGGTTTATTTCCTCTCTCCTTCTATAATCCCCTTTCAGAGAATCAAAGACAGTCAAATGCATGTATCCTCATCAGAGTAGAATACTCTTCTTTTTTTCCTCTAGCATAAAACCTTTTTATTTGACAACATATGCTTCTGCATTACTTTTTCAACCAAGGAAAAATATGATCAAAAGATGTAAGAACTATATCATAATCCGATTCCAGAGCTATGTGGTCTTAATGCTGTTTCTGGGCCAGTTACCAGTTAGGCGTCTTACATATTATGAATGAAGAATAGTCTTAGATTCTCATACTGAAGCATGTACACACAGTTTTTCAAATATTATCTTGTAATTTTACTGGTTGCTTCGCATTAACCAGGTTACATTAAGACAGTTTAGAAATATGTTGTCCTAAATGCCACCAAGGGGTGAGCCTCCTGACCTATAATGACCCTACAAGACTAAAAGTCCAATCAGAGGAGATTGGATGAGAGGTGGCAGATGGAAGAAAACAGAGGAGGTAAATAAGGAGAAAAACTGACGATGAAGAAGAAAAATGGAGTTAGGGTGAAAAAAACCAAGGAGACAGTCTTTGCCCATGTTTTTGTGGTGGGGAAGAAAATGTGGCAACAGATGGACCCTATAAACCTTTCCCCACCTCCTTGGATCTCCTCCACGAGTAACAATCATTCTTGTGGATAAAAGGTACAGGTGAGGAAGGTGTATAAATTCACATGAGTCCAGTTTGATTGAATTTAGAGAATTTTTCTCTGAGTTTTGAAATGACAGAACGGCAGTGAATTAAAAAAACAATTACTTTGCAGTTAAGTGCATTTGACTTGCCTTTTGAAGTCATTGTACTCCCATACGATGTAATACATTTAAGTTTGGAAGAGTGAGTTACTAGATTCAATAAAAAAAAATCTACCTTGCTCATGTAAGCTTAACAAATTGATTTCATGTTGTTTGCAGTTTTAGGTCTTAACCCAGCATCAAAATATGACGTCCACAATAGATGCCTCCTTAAATTTTGCATCCTAAATGCCTCACTTGCTTCAAGCTAGTCCTGGCCCTGGGAGTCAGTAAAAGCAGATCTTCTGAGGTCCAGTGTCATGTAATCCAAGTATACAGCAACTTAAGTCCTACTTAGATGAAGGAAACTTTGGGCTCTACAGTAAAAGAGGGAATTCCTTTAGGAATTATAGGTATTATTTCTTAAAAGTGAAAGATGATGGGCGCCTGGGTGGCTCAGTAGGTTAAAGTCTCTGCCTTCAGCTCAGGTCATGATCTCAGGGTCCTGGGATCAAGCCCTGCATCAGGCTCTCTGCTTAGCGGGGAGCCTGCTTCCCCTTGTTTCTGTCTGCTTCTCTGTCTATTTGTGATCTCTGTCAAATAAATAAATAAAATCTTAAAAAAAAAAAGTGAACGATGAGAGGGCAGCACATCTGAAGTTATATTCTCTGAAGACAACCCCAGGTTCAGCCATTTCATGTGTCTAAGTAATGGTATATTTTAATATACTACTGTCACTAAGTCTTATGAGCCCTACATTTTCCCCACTCCATGCTGGATAATCACAAGGTATCTAAATTATGTCATTTCTTAAAGCGCATCAATGGTTGAAATGCACACTTGAAATGTGTTCATGGAGAAAGTAAAATCTCATCATAAGAACAGGAATAATCTCTATCAACTTTTTCAGAGAAAATGTGGCATCATCATGTTTTTCCTCCAGAAATAATTAAACTGCATAACCAGATGATCTAGTAGTAGAGACAAAGCTTTTAACTTTTAAACCAGAAGGAATGAACAGATTTTATTTCTTTCCTTAAATAGGCAACAGATTTGTTTTTAACTTAAGGTCTTTGAGTCCAATTGCTTTAACGTTAGCAAATAAACTTTCTGAGAGGACACTAACTGTACCTGTTCTCCTTCAACCTCCTTCTGAAGTATGAGATACTCCAGACACAGAATAATGTTTCCAGAGCTCTAAAACAGACAGTAAAACTGGGGTATAAAATGCTCGTGGTTAGACTTGATCCAGGTGCACCTGATGGGCTTTGTATAAATTAAACAAATACACTGTGAAATCATACTTATATTGGAATTCAGTTACTGAAGTGTCACATCTTCTGGCTAATAAAGAGGACAGACACTTACACAGAGATTCAAGAGCTGCTTATGTGATTTTCAACACAGGAGACCAAAGAATCGGTGGCTAATTTAATCAGAACAGCGGAGAAAGGAATTTTTGTAAAAAGTCCAAGCTAATAACTGCATTTCATTTTCCTTTACCCAGATTATGAAATTTGGTCCCCTGATTTTATCTGCATTATCTCTGCTGCTAAAGGCTTTTTTAAAAAAGATTTTATTTACTTATTTGAGAGACAGAAAGCTCAAGCAATTGTATGTGCAGGGTGGGGAGGCAGAGGGAGAGGGAGAAGCAAACTCCCTACTGAGCAGGAGTCCAATGCAGGGCTTGATCCCAGGACCCTGAGATCATGACTTGAGCCAAAGGTAGGCTCTCAACCAAGTGAACCACCCAGGTACCCAAGGCTTATTTCTGAGTGGGGTTTCAGACATCCTCACAGCACCCACTAACTTTTGACAATGAATTAGCCAGAAAAATTTCCCATCTGTTGCTGTTTTCCCTTTCAATCCAAATTCTATATTCAGATATTCAACACAAAACTACGAAAAGTTGCATCTAGCTTTGACTGACATAGGGAAAAATGTGAATAAGAGAACAGATATAAAAATAAATGTGAACATGAGGTTCTACTTTTTCTTTTACCCAAGAGAGTCTAAATGAGATTTATTTAAAGAAGGATCTAAAATTTTCAACTTAGTAGATGATACACAGAAATATTTCCTTCAAAATCCCTTATACCTATTAACTTCTAAATATAAAGAATTCCAATATTTAGAAATTATATTTATGTTTATAAAATACAAAGAAATCATTCTTGCCATTGGTGCTCTTATCAACTGTGATTATTAATGTGCCTGAAAAGATATTTAAGCACACACAATTTTCAACCATATACTCATCTTTATAAGCAAAAGAGAATCCCATTTATATTATGACATTTCTTACATATAACATTCTGTTATTTATACATAATGTAGTGACTGCCAACCCAATGTGCACACACATTTTTTTGGTTCAAGCATCTTGTAAAGCCACTAAGTTTTTTAATGTCAGCTGTAAAAAGACCATAGCCTCCCCAAATGGCATTCTCAATCTTGGTTGTATAGCTTATTATGCACAGCATCTAAGTGATTGGAACATCATAAGCCTTCCATAGCCAAATGCTGAAAGAATGCACATTTAGTATCACTTGTAACGCTTTAGGATCTAACTAGAATAGGTGGCTCACCTGGCTTGCTGCAGATGGACTTGCACAATTCTTTCGGTAACATGCCAACATATGGGCAGTCTGATTAACCAGGATTTCCCGGATGACCTTCAAGGGCTGGTGAAGAACTGCTTTAAATGCTAGTTGCACAAAACAATGAAAATGGCATCAAAGCCTTAGCTCAGAAATCAATCCCTTCAAATGATAATAGTAATAAACAACAAATTGCTATTATCTTCAGACCACCCAGCAAGGAGTAACAGTGTTAAAATGTTACAGTCATTTTTTAATGTTCTCCATTTTACTAAGTATGCCAACATACCCAATGGAAACAATGGCCTACCTCTAACAAAAGACAGGTAATTGGTCCATATTTTTCCACAGAATATTATAAACAGACTCTACACACAGAGAAAGGAAAGACCAATATGCCATCTTCTGGTGTTCTGAATTCCTATGGGCTGGATTACTCTTTCCTCTAAACCTACAGAATCTCAAATGGGGGTTGTGGAGGGGAGAAGGAACCAAAGAAAATTCCAACTCTGGCCCCTCCCATTTCATAATTATCATGGTATGGATAGGCAAGTTCAGCCCAACATTAGGGAGAGTCCCTTTCCATTATCCCCAAGTGCTAGAGGGCATCCTCGCATACCATAATGACAATCTAGGTATTACCTTCCTAAATTTCAACTCAGAGCCCACCCCCACCCCATGAAAGAAACTTTGAATAAAACTATATAGAGTGGGCCTGAATTGAGTTATCTCATTCTTAATCTGGAATTAGAGATGCTGACTATTGTCCCTGGCACTCTGCTTTTATAAATTCTGAATCTGCCCACCAAAAGGCTGTGCTACCACAGTAGTTGACAGTTACTAATTCAATTAACCAACAAGTCTTGACTGACTTACTAGGCAAGACACACAGCACTACAGGATTAGCGGAGTGTTACCTGACTTGGCGAAGAAGTTGAGAAGAGCATCTGTCTCACAGCTCTTATAGAGATCAGCCAACTGGGAGCTGCAGTTCAAGCTCAGATTGTGAATCCGAAGTCTTCTCTGACCTCCAATGGTTGTGTAAAGCACAGCACACTGCAGAGGCAATATCAAGGACACATGTTTTTCTGATCAACATGTCCACCCAAGCTAGCCTGATCTTATTTACACTTAGAGAACAGTGTGTACAGCTCAGGGACCTCTAAATTCTTCCACAGATCTTTTTTTTATTATTGCTAATGGCTGAACAATAACAAATAAGGGAGGTATAATGATAATTCATACATTGGGTTTCTATGTAACTCTCCACTGGGTTAAATTTAAATTTTAGTCAGGCTTTCACACATAAGTACCTATTTGCATCTACTGCTACTCTACTTTCACATATCTCAGATTTCAGTACCAGGGGTTCAGGTCCAGAAGCAAGACTTTCATGTTGATGATTATAGCCCTATTCAAGCCTCACTTCCCTTAAAAACATGCAGCTAATTTTGATGATGTACTTAAGTCTCACACTGATGATATACGCATTTCAAGAATGCAAACAAGTATACACTTCTTCAAATTTCTGTGATCAAAAAATAAACATTAGTTAGAGTTCTTCCTCAACTTACTTCCAACCCCTCTCCATTCTTTAAGGGTGATGCTAGTATCTGAAAACTATGCCCATTAGATATAGTTGTTCTTATTTTAATTCAAGACCTCCATGGTGTCTATGTAAATTTATTTACTACAAAACCAAATTCTATTTATATTTGCGTGTAACATAATAATGCACTTAACATGGTATCTACCATATGGTAGAAATGCAACAAATGAATGAATGGGAGCTAAAGCCTAAAAGAAATGAATATGGCTGGCAGTCAGTTTGCTAATGCCTACCACACTGGTCACAGTTTGCTGGGCTCTCACGTCATGACATATGATTGTGACTTCATACAAATAGCATGTGTAAATGAGGGTGTAGAGACTACACAACTGAGTGCTGTAATCTAATGACTTTTGCCTTGGGAAAAACAGAGTCGAATTTCTTTACAGAGGGATGACTCAGTTGATGGTATTTTAGTCTCCCCACTGACTGTTGTCAGTAACAAACTAAAACACCAAAAATGGGAATACGTTTTGAATCACCTGGATTAAGGCTCCACTGTCTTCAGCAAGTTTGTCATCATGCTTGAACTCCACAGTCACTGCCTTGTCACAATCAATGGCCGCCATTTCTACATCAGTGGTATTGTTCATAAAAATTCCACCAAAGAAATCAGTGGCTCTGAAACCTAATGATGAGGAAAAAGGGAAATTTTGTTCCTGGTCCGTTATTAATTTGAAGAGAAAACAATCACACAGCAGAGACCTGAAAAACAGTATAACTGAAAATTACCTGTGCTGGTACGAATCCTCATAATAGCATCGAATCCTATTTTCTTTTCAATATCATTTCTGAGATCATTCAAAAATTGTTGGCTATCCATGTGCATCTAAAAAATAAAGTAGGATCAGTGTCCACCAGATGGCAGTAAAATACTTAAAATAATTCTTATTTTTAAAAATCTTGATTAAAACCCACTTTATCCAGACATCTTAGAAAGGATTCTTAAAGCTTTTTCAATTTTACTTCATTTGCTATCTTTGGTTTTACCAAATCCCTTAAAGTAGTTTACAATATAAATATGTAGCTAGGTGATTAAAAATAATTTTACTGATACTAAATAAAAATAGATGATTAACATTTGTCATTTATGTGGGGAAACACTCATTCGCACTCCATGTTGCCATGTATAGGTACGTAAGTCAGAGGCACTCCCCTAACCCCTTCCTCTCAGGTGAGAGCAGGTGACTTATCTGATTAGTAAGTCTAGTAAAGGAATTGTGTAGGCCTAGCTTACTCTATTCTGGACCTTCTTTCTGGGGAGGCAGCCTGCCTATAGGAGGCACACATTTCTTGCCCCTCAATATGTTAAGTTGTAAAGGTACAGTTGTCCACGAGGAAGCTTGTAACTGTGCCTACCCTGGGCCTTGCTTTAATTAAGTTACACTGAAAGGTAAAGCAATAGCAAGCCCACTTGCCACAGACCTGAGTCTGTGTGCTCCTCACATTTTTACTATCTCGTGACTCTGTCTCTTAATTGAGGCTTGGAAGAGAGGGGTATCATGAATTGACCCCCCAAATCCCAACAATTTAAAACAAATACATAGTCACTTTTAAAAACAGTATCTTAAATATATTTAAAATACTAAAATTTTATATAGAATATACTTTTCCCCATCAAGGAAGCTTACATTGAAATTCACCTCTGAGGATAAATGAGCTCAATCTGTTGTCAAACACTAAGGGAGTGGGAAAGCAATTGCTTAATCACATATACATCATCTCCATTGGTTCTAGCATTTACAATTTGTCAGTTGCCCACAAGGGGGCATAGGTTTCTTAACCAATGATTGAAGCACCTAAAGTCAAACAGCAGTAGAAAACCTGAGGTGAACAAGTTGCTGGCTTTTACCTGGAAATTGTTGTATTTGTAAAGGGTTCCTCCGGTAAGCTGAGGCACGAGACCCAAAGAGGCCACATCCACATACTGGCTGGGAAAGAGGAAGAGGGTCACACAGCATCCGTGAGCCACACAGTCTTTGGCCAGAGAGTCGTACACATTGGTTTGGGGCTGGAAAAGTATCTGAAGAAAAAGATGCACAAAGGGAAAAAGAAAACCACAAAATGTTTTTGGTTTCAATTTTTAATTTCTATTGAATTCTTTTAAAATTAAAGAGAAATTGTTTCCAGTTAAGTGAACTGGCCTGAAGGAATGAATTATGGTCATCATTAGAGCAGCAGCTGTTCACTGAGCACTCACAGTGTGCTGGGCTCCTGTTGCATGAAACATGTGTGTGCAGGCAATGTTATCTGATCCTCCAACAATGCTAATGAGACGGACACTCCTGTCTTACCTTTATAGACCTACACGGGGCAACTTGTCTGGTGTCATGTGGTTAGTATGCCTACATCATGGTCTTAACCTTCCCACTGACCTGAGCCCCCCAGCAACAGCTATACTTCAGAGGATTTGAGCAAAGCACACTCTGAGCACTGGGTACCTCTACTTCCTGTCTCAGCGATGTTGTTATATGGTGCAGTCTACATTTTCCTTCTACCTTTATCTTCTTCCCGTATCTCCTCCCATTTCTCCCATTTCTATAACGGTCTTACACCTAGTCTCTTACACAGATCACACATGAAAAAAGTTTGAGGCCTTATTTTATTAGGAATATTAGGAATATTTCAGAAATTAGCTTTTCTAAGAATATAAATTTTCTTAAATTATGTGCGATTCAAAATATTCCTATGATATACAATGTCCTGGATTTATGCATTACATTTAGCTACTCTCCCTTTCTTACACAAAGGACACCTTCACTCTTTCATTACTGCCCTTTAAAAACTGACACAGAGACACTTCAAAGAGCCATTGTTTACAAATACCTTCTCTTTGTCTGTATTAATCAGCTTCTTGTCATCTCTGTTTTTGAGCTTTCCTGGTGCTTCTGCAGTCGGCAAGGAGGAATGGAAGATGAACAGCTTCCCAGGACAGTCTGCTGCCTGAAAGAAAAAAAAAATGATAGAAAATATCTTGGGTGGAGAAGTTTTACTTTAAGGGAATCAGAAAATAAATCAAATTAATTTTATTAATATTAATATTTAATAAACATTAATATTTAATAAATTAAAATACAGGTATTTTCTATGAGCCAAGCAGTATAATTTATTTTTTTTTAAAGATTTTATTTATTTATTTGACAGACAGAGATCACAAGTAGGCAGAGAGGCAGGCGGAGAGAGAGGAAGGGAAGCAGGCTCCCTGCTGAGCAGAGAGCCCGATGCAGGACTCGATCCCAGGACCCCGGGATCATGACCTGAGCCGAAGGCAGCGGCTCAACCCACCGAGCCACCCAGGCGCCCCCAAGCAGTATAATTTAATCCTCTTAATAACTTTTGTGTCCTTGGGCAAGTACTATTCTCTCCATTTTATAGACTGGGAAACTGAGGCTTAGATTTGCCCAAAGTCATACAAGTTGTAAATGAAACAATCAATATTTGAACGTAGGTCCCTATACCATGATGCTTTGAAAAACTAGTAAGAGGATGTATTACAGGGAAAATACTTTCTTGTTTAGCCTACAGAACACTCTTTCAGGACCAAGTGAATCCCATGATGCAGAAGTAAACAGAAGTCTGAGAATCGTGGTGCAACAGAAGCCCCTCTTTGAAAACTTTAGTAAACATAAATTACACCAAACATGGTATTTCAAGGAAGAATGCACAAGAATGTATCAGTGCTAGCACGCCTGGGTGGCTCAGTGGGTTAGGCCTCTGCCTTCAGCTTGGGTCATGATCTCAGGGTCCTGGGATCAAGCCCTGCATTGGGCTCCCTGCTCAGCAGGGAGCCTGCTTCCCCCCTCTCTGCCTGTCTCTCTGCCTACTTGTGATCTCTGTATGTCAAATAAATAGAATCTTAAAAAAAAATAAAAGAAAAGAATGTAGCAGTGTTGTGGAGACAATAGACACACGACGCCAGTTATCAGACAAGATGACAAAAGGAAAAATACATGATCGAGATTATATATCTGTAGTCCCTGGGAAGCAATAAAAAGATGACTTAGGCTCCACAAAAGTCTATCCAGCATTAAAAATATTTAAAATCATATTTAAGGACCTAAGAAGTAATCTACCAAGCAAAATTTACTGAAATTAAATGATTCAGTATATTGAGCCCTGCAATCCCGCCTTTCTCCAAACGATCCCGGCATACTGCTGCCAGAGCACTCCCTTCACTAAAGGTAACTGCTTGGATCGTGCACGGGGCATTTCTCCTTAAGAATCCTGGAGACTTTCTACTACATGATAAAGTCCATATTCCTTGTGGGAGCAGTGAGGGTAACAATGAGATGAGTTGCTGCCAACAGTCGCTGTGTGCAGCTCCATGCCAGGTCCTTCACACACATTATTTATTTAATACAACCTCATGGAGAAGATAATGTTATCTGCATTTTAAGGTTCGGAAAACTGAGGCTCATCCAGTTTGCCTCAAGTCACAGAGTCAGTGACCCTCTGGCCCTTCAAGGTCCCCTGGAGTTCGAAGACTATCTTTCCAGTTGAATCTCCACCATTTCCTAACCCCTGCCATCCTTTGCATTGGAAGTTTCCACCCTACAAGCTTTGCTTTCCTGGAATACATCATGTATTTTACACACCTCCATATCTTTACACATTTTGTTCCTTTACCCTGGAATCCGTTTCTCCCTCTTCTTGGTCTGGAGCTGTTGTTCGCAAAGACCGGTTTAGTGGCACACCTTGGTGTGCCCGGGTCAGCTGGTAAGAGGCGTTTAAAGTTATCTCCTACGACTATTAAGGTACGTGGGTTTGTGAATAACATTAAAGAACAAATGGAGAGGCGCACCTGGGTGGCTCAGTCCTTAAGCGTCTCCCTTTGGCTCAGGTCATGATCCCAGGGTCCTGGGATTGAGCCCTGTGTCAGGCTCCCTGCTCAGCGGGAACCCGCTTCTACCTCTCCCACTCCCCCTGCTTGTGTTCCCTCTCTTGTTATCTCTCTGTCAAATAAATAAATAAATAAATAAATAAATAAACAAAATCTAAAAAAAAAAAAAAACAACCAAACACAAATGGAGAGAATTCCAGGTTAGCCTTGTCCTAATGTGTCTCCCTAAGTGACATTGGGGAGGGGCGCATAACCTGTGCCCTGTCTCATCTTTGTTGTGGTCAGCAGTGAGCAGTGATCTTACTGCTGCACTAGCCTTCCACCAAAAATTACTGATATAGCCTAAGTAAGAAAGAAGGCAAGGATGAGTGAAGAAGCACAGGAAACACTGTGGTTCTTGCACTTTCCTGTGCAAACACTAAACAGGGAAAAGACACTATCAACACTTGGGCCAATTAAGACACATGAGTTCTTATGATTAAATCTGAGTAAAATTTATAGTAATACTGATAATGACATGTTAATAATTTTGAAATTCTATGACTGACTTTTTATTTCTATCACATTCATCGTTATAAAAGTACTTTCTGTTTATTTTAATTCGAGTAGCAGAAAAGGCATGGAACCTTTTTTAAAAGTCCATCTTCTCCCCAACTTTTCTTGCCTGGCCTACCCGTTCCCCTAAATAATTCACTGTCAACCCATCCAGATATTCATTCACCTTCATCCACCTAGATATTCTCTGCTCATTCAAGTATGGTTATTGTATACCACAGTAGGTAAGAGCATGGGTCCTAATTCCTATCTACATGAATAAGAGTCCAAGCCATTTTTTAGCTGAATGATACTGGGCAAATTATTTAACTTCTCTAAGCTTTAGTTACCTAATACGTGACTTAGCTGAATGATACTGGGCAAATTATTTAACTTCTCTAAGCTTTAGTTACCTAATACTTGTAGGCAAATACGGAACAATCCTTAGATTATCTTCAAATGAATAAAGGAATGTGCTGCTCTGGCCTTCTAGTTTACATAGAGCATGGTGCCTTGAACTGAACAACTCATGTAGGTGTAGTCTGGTCTCACCTCAGAGGAGGGCCATTGCTATACTCATCTCACAGCCTATCCCTGTAAGAGAGTAACCTGATTGCATCTGCTTTTCTCCCACTACAGATTCATGCTGATTCCCTCAGTTCTTTTTTAAGTACTCTTGTTTCCAAGGAGCATCTGCATGTGCATTTTTTTTGGACACTGGTTCAGGATCATACATTTCTTCGTAAACTCATCCAAGTCAATCTGAAACATCATGCCAGTTGCTGACATGGGAATAGAGTTTAATCTTGTTAGTGTATTTGCTGTTCTACTCAATTTCATGACATCTATTAATTTATGAATAAACCTTCCTAGCTGTGTAATCGTAGACAGGTCCTGATTTAATCACTTCAAGTCTATTTCTTCACCCGTGAATGGGGCTGGTAATAAAATTGGAGTTACCATGAGGAATAAATGTTCGCAAAAACACCCAGTGCGGTTCTTAGGACATTGTATGTACTCAATATACTTAACTCTTCTTATTTATTCATATCACTGATACCAAAGTTGAACAGGGCAGATACAGGTCAGATGCCTGTGTCAGACCACTCAAAACCACTCTCCTAGGTTTATATATATTCATTAATAATGGTCTCATATAGGCCATTTCTATTATTCTGTCCACAAGGACAGATCAGAGAATTTTTAAAAATGCATTTCTCAAGTACACTGTCTCTGATATTTCCTAGGTTGATTTATTCACCTAACACTTCCCAACCCTCAAAAAAAATTTTTAGTTTTCCACATTTTTTCTTAGTAAACCATTTAAACAGCTTTTTCCCAAGACATGAATACCACCCTTATTTCTTTTTAAAATCTCAAAATACCTAAAAAAATTTCTACCTGTTGAGTAAGACCATATGAAGTAATTTATTGGTACTGGTTAATATCCATTATATACAGGTAGAAACCCTCAAAATTGTACAGAGAACCATTAAGAATATAGATAAAGACAGTTTTATAGACAAAACAACAACTGGAAAACAGTTTTAACATACACAACATATAATTATGAAAAAAAAAGTAGAACACAAATTGTTCTACCAAATAGATTCCAAGGTTATTAAAAGTCTGCTATGCAAACCTTAAGTTGAAAAACATGTTCAATGGGTGTTACATGGTTTAAAAAAATTAGGTATAATGTAAAAATTTTATTTTTTCCCTCACTGCAAATGGGAGAGCCAAGACAACTTTTTACCTCAAATCTATACATTTTGAAAAATAATTTATATGTCTAGCACAAAGAAAGAAAATTGAGAATGTTTACAGTTCTGTAAACTAAGCCTTTCATGAAATGCAAACTGTATCACTTTTAACAGTTAGAAATTGTGCAATCAGAAATAGACTGTTCCCTTTATAAAGGTACAATTGTATCTTCACTGACTTTATACCTGAGCACCAAAGCTTAAGTCCTAAATGTCATCCTGGAAAGCTATTTTGAAAATGAGCAAGAAATCAAAACTAGCCTGTTATCATCTGGAGAATTAGGCACCAAGAAGGAGATTATCTCCTTAGAAATGCAACATTAACAATAGAGAAGATTCAATTAATTAAGCAGCTGGCAGATCTCTTTGTGAACGCAACAAAGGAAATCCACATAAGATGATCCTCCATAAAGTCCTTTGTCTTCTACCAGGAACTGTCGGAAAACCATTTCTGGCTGCTCCCGCTGCTTTACTATTGTCAGCTAGGAAAAAATAATAAGGCTGGTGGTTATAAACATTCTCTGAATGTGGCTCAATTTTATATGCCTGTATTTCACCAAAATTATTTAACGTACATTGTGTGTGAGGCCTTGGAGGATGATGGGAAAGTGCCCATTATCCAGAGTGGAGGGAGGCACTGACCCCCAAACCATAAAAACCCAAGACATACAACACTAAGTGGCAACGATGAAACATAAGAAAAGCACCATGGGAAAGGCTTCACAATGGTAATAATGGTCATTTGAGCCTTAAAGGATAATGTAGGATTTCCTTAAGGATAGGGGTGGGTTTAGTGAGCATTCCATAATGGGGTGCCATACACCATGTACCAAAGACAGACATGGCTAGCAAAATGAATTAATAGTCTTAAAGTCAGTGGAAAGTTAGGGACAAACCACCTCAAGGTTAGGGAAAACTACCTAAATGAGTCTGAGCTTTTGTAGGAATTGTGATCTAGTGAAAGTGCTTCAGGACAAAATGAGTTAACTGGTCGCACTATGAGATGAGGGAAACTCAACAGGAAGCAGAGGCATTGAGGTGGGAGGCGATCGGGATTTGAACTACAGGGCAGTGAAGATGGAAAGGGAAGAGATTTGAGAGGTGCTACATGGGTAGAGCACGTGACCCTTGATCTCAATGTCATGACTTCAAGCCCCACATTAGGCATGGAACCTACTGGAAAAAAAAAAAAAGGAAGAAAAAGAAACAATTGAGAGGCGCTACAGAGGTGGACTGCACAGGGGACCCTTGTTCCCTGCACATAACAATGATCTAGGGCTGTGCAGTCCAGTACTGTAGCCACCAGCAACACGTGATTATCAAACACTTGAAACATGGCTAGTCTGAATTGGGTTGTGCTGTAAATGTAAAATACACAATGGATTTCTAAGACTTTGAGAAAAAGAAAACGTAAAACTCACTAACTGCATATCCATGTGGAAATGCTATTTTGGATACACTGGGTTAATAATATATTACTAAAATGACTCTTCTACATTTCTAACATGACTACTAAGAAATTACATTTGCAGCTTGCATTATTGGACAATGCTGCCCTAGGGGAAGAGGTGCATGGGGAAAAAGCCCAGAAGGGGGCAGCCTTGGCATGAACACTTGGAGCCCTTCCTAGTCCTTACTCACTCACTCACTCCTGTTTTCAGGTAGTCAGAGATGACAATCTGAACGGTCAGAATTTGTTATCTACTGAGCCATGAGTGGAGTTAACAGAGCACACACACAAAACAAGGTCTCCCTGCCTGCTTCATGGCATCCCCTCACTTCCTCTCACCTAGTGAAACCACCAGAAAGGTCTGCAGTTACCGGCTGTAGGGAGAAAGGTACATTGCATTTCGGCCAGGAGGGACTGGCCCTCCCTACTTTTGCTTTAGTTATCAAGTAGAATGATACTGTCAACACAATTTGCCTTCTTTCCTTTATGCTCTTTTGGCCTGGCCCCTAGGCTGATAAGCTTTAAACCACCCCTGGCCTGATAGAAATACAACAGCTGCTGCCACCGCTACAGCTCAGCGAACTTATGTGGATACGGACGGGTGTGGTGTCTTGGCTTTCAGGTGTCATTGCCAGGCACGGGGATGCCGCACTGGAACAGCAGTGTGGACGGGCACACCTCCACCCCAACACAGGGAAGCACAACTAACCTTCAATGGAAACTTCTCCAAAGGAGATTAAAACTTGCATCCTGGTGAGCCTGAAGCCAAGGCCATTTTCTTTTTACTGGTTATTACTGTCCCTGACAGGCAAGAGCAATGTGGGTCTGGCCTCAGTGAAACAGCCCAGGCTGACACTGGGCAGAATGAGACATTGTGAAGGGAAGGATTTGAGACTCTAATTTCTTTAGAATTTAATTTGTCTATGGGAATTAATGGGAGGAAGTCCATATTATACATATGCTGTTGCTGCCATTCACTTGGGTTATTTATTTTCTTTTTTTCTTTTTTTAAAGATTTTATTTATTTATTTGACAGAGAGAGATCACAAGTAGAGAGGCAGGCAGAGAGAGAGGGGGAAGCAGGCTCCCTGCTGAGCAGAGAGAACCTGATGCGGGGCTCGATCCCAGGACCCTGAGACCATGACCTGAGCTGAAGGCAGAGGCTTTAACCCACTGAGCCACCCAGGAGCCCCGGGTTATTTATTTTCGTATGGTGCTCATTGTAAAACTTCCTTCGATGAAGGGTGTCTGGCTATGATCTGAGGTGGAAATCGAATAGGAAATGAATTTCACCTTAGGGAGAAACTTAGCTTTAAGGTAAAAAAAAAAAAAAAAAAACAAACACAAATACCCTGATTCAGGACACCTGGGTGGTTCTGTTGCTTAAACATCTGACTTCGACTCAAGTCATGATCTTCGGGTCCTGGGATGGAGCCCCACATTAGGCTCCCCTACACAGCAGGGAGTCTGCTTCTGCCTCCCCCTCTACCCTTCCCTCTGCTCATGCTGTTTCTGTCTCTCAAATAAATCAATAAATTCTTTAAAAAAAAAAATTCTGGCTCTACCATTTGAGTTTCTATAGACAAAGTTGAACCTCCCACTACTAGTTCCAGAATGACACAGAAAGTATGGTGGAAGGTCTCAGGAAGCAGATTCATGGAAGTGGTGGCAAGCCATCTTAGTTGTCTTGACATGCTGGTGATCTTCTTAAGGAGTAAACCATACAACTAAGGGGAAAAAATACTGGGATGGACTGGGGAATCCATATTTTATCAGCCCCCTTCCATTACCTTTCTATAGGGAGGGAAATAGCCTTGCAGAGTGAGAAGAGAATATTAAAATGATCGTTGCTGGTGTCCCTCCCAGCCTCATGTGTACCCTCTTCATGGAAGAACCGACTATCTCGAGTAGTCCCAGTTTATATTCTCTAGGTCACAGTACCAGGCACCTTAAAGAATCATAGTACTTCAAGAGCCATTC